GGCTACTGTAGGCAATGGTGCTACCTGGTGCCCACAGGGCAGGGCTACCGGGGCTGGCAGGTACCAGGTATTGTCTTTGCTGCTGTGCTGCCAGACTAGCACCCTGCTTCCTCCCTAGCTTCAGCAGATGTGCATGATTAATGGATTATTTACATTTTGCTGCTTGATTATTATCTTTTCTGCATCTAACCTTTTCACTTTTACAAATTTATTTTGACTTCGAAATTCTGGGGATTCCACATATAACCTTTATGTTTATTGGTGAAGCCGCCATTATGAGCCTGTTTTTCCCCCTTTCTAATTCTAGAGTTTAATTATATTTTTTCTTCGCCTTTTGGTACAGGTGCAGCAATTAAATGGCATTAAGTCTGTTTCACAATCATTAAGTAGGCTTGTTATTGTCCTTTTTGTATGTATTTGAAGTTGTGAATAAGTCACCTCTCTAATGAATCTGCCAAGGAAAACTTTGACATGCCACTGAGAGTGATGTTATGGTTGCACAAAGAAATGTCTTGAGCTGGGTTTAGTCCCTGACCCTTTCCAGCAACCACCTGAGAGAGGCTGGAGGGAAAAGAGATCTGCTGCATTGGAGACTGCAGAATAAGATTTGTAGGTGGAATAAGCTGAGGAGAGGAGAGGAGAAGAGCAGCAGGACAGATTTCATTTGACTCTTAAGGGGACCTTCCCAAAGCCTCAGGGCATGTAAGGTTGCCTTCAGCCAGAAAGGTTCTAAGAGCTGGGTGGGCACTGGGGGATACTTGCATCACCTTTTCTCACCCCCCCTCTGTCTTTCCTATTCTTTCACCTTAGCTTTTGTTCCTTTCCCCATTCTGCCAGCCCCCACCAGCACTGTCTGATTTTTTAATGCCATCTCTGTAATATGCCTGCTAAAGCACATTGTGCTGATTCCTTCCTTAGTTTTCTAGTGGATACTGTCTTGGTTTTGGCTGGGAGAGTTATTTTTCTTCCTAGTAGCTGACAGTGCTGTGTTTTGGATTTAGAGTGCAAACAATGCGTATTTAATGCAGGAACAATGCTGATAACACACCCATGTTTTAATTGTTGCTAAGTAGTGCTTAACCCGATCAAGGACTTCTCAATCTCATGCTCTGCCAGTGAGGAGGGGCATGGGAAGCTGAGAGGGAGCAGAGACAGGACACCTGACCCAAACTAGCCAAAAGGGTATTCCATACCACAGCATGTCATCCCCAGTATATAAATTGGGCAGAATCACCCAGAAGGGCAGATCACTGCTCAGGTCAGGCTGGATATTGGTTGGTGGGTAGTGAGCGATTGTATCATGCATCACTTGGGGTTCTTGGGTTTTATTTCTTTTTTTGTCTCTGTTTTCATTAGAATCGTTATTATATTATGTTTTATTTAGGTTATTAAACTGTTCTTATCTCAACCCATGTTTTTTTTACCTTTCTTTTCTGATCCTCCTCCCCATCCCACCTGGGGCTGGGGGGCAGTGAGTGAGGGGCTGAGGGGTACTGAGCTGTCAGCAAGAGCACCTCCACCATTGTTTCACTGGTAAATCATTACAGTATTCAAGAAGAAATGAGGTCCTCTTCTACCTTGGGTACAGTCCTCTTCCCTCAAATATTACAAGGAACAGGAAAAAGAGCATTCCCAGTGCTCCTGCAGCAGGTGGACAGTTGCGCAAAGCAGCAGCACGTAATGCTCATTTTATGCATCATATCAAAGTTGCTAGGTGGGTTTTTTAATGATTTCATTGCTGGGACTACCTGGAAAAGACATTAGTTTTCTGTGACGGGTGTGGCCCCACACTGCAGGAAGCACACAATGCTTAGGTACCATGGTATACCAGACTTAAAGTATCTAGGTAAGACATGAAAAAACAGAGATAACACTTATCGTTTCCTCCAGCTCCCACACCTTACCTCCACCACAGATGAAGGTCAGTCTGATGAAAGCAAGCAACTCACAGCCTGCAAAATTTGTTGCCCAAAACTGAGCTGCACTTCACCCACAAAATATTAGGTTAAAAAAACCCCAACATAAAACAAAATAAAGGTTTTCTTCTTCAGGACAATGCCACGAAATGAAGAGAACTGCCCAAACAGGTTGGGCAGCTTTAGTGTTTTGATGTTAGGTTGGCGATAGGAAAGAAATGAGAAAGTTCAGCTCTAGTTCTTACCTCTATTACTGAACATTACTGGCTATTCTGTCTGCCAGAATCTGCAGGGTTTTAGACTAGATGCAGAGGGGCTTGGACATAAGAAATGAGGAATGGCCCAGCTCTCCACACAGTTGCCAAATATCTGTTGTGCTCTTGTTTGGGGTATTGTAGATGAGGAAGAATGAAAATGAAGTTAAAGATATCACCCAAATATTATTCCTGCAAAAATAGTTCAGCAAGTAAGCACTGTCAGTCCCCAACCACCTGCAAACCTTTAAAACATTCTCCCTGTTCAACTCCTGAGCTTTTTCCATTTTAAAATTGTTCTAGCCCATTATTTCCTGAAGCCTGATTTTTGCATTCAGAGCCCCCTTGACGCTTTGTAAAGTATTTGCTTTGAAAAAGGCCTTTTTGGCTGCCTTTGAATTCTGTCATGACATTGATTCAATCAGGAAAGTCTTTCCACAGGGAGGAAGGTTATCAGCACAAGTGATTATATGTACAAAACACTACAGGCAGATGGGAAAACCCAAAGTGTAGGGTATGGAGGTACCATTCATGAATAGCAGCTTAACAGGAGACTTCTTCCTTCCTCTGGGATTGTGATTTCTTTGGTCTGTAGTTTTTAGTTTTGACCATTACATTTCTGTGGCCATTCAGTATTACAGAATGAGCAACTGCTGACAGAAACACTCCTGGCATGCTGACTGGAGTATCTAGGGGGAGGTACTAAGAAGCTGCTATTCAGAACAAGAGCCTTTGGGAAGGTTCTGAAGGAGGAACATTAAACCTGCTTGACAAATCAGTGTGTCACAACAGGCCACAGATACAGTTTGAAGAAAGACATGACAAGTTAAAACCTAAAGATGAAATGAGCACAGAAATGAAAACCTTCTTTCTGCTTTGTAAACATAAATCCCCAGTGCATAACATTATTTTAAAAAGCAGATTCAAATCCCCCTTGTGCTCCTCCCTCCCCATCTCCAACTGCTTGTGGTTCAAGTAGAAAAACCCATACTTTACCAAACTCTGTCAGCTTTCTGGCATGAGTCTGCAGAGTAACCTTGTATATTACAGGGGCTAAAGGGACCGAGTCATCTTTGCATGCAGCGTGAGACTTCCAGACAGATATAAAGGACTTGGATTTATTTGAATATACTTTACCAAGTCAGAGAAGCACCAAGCAGACACTCTTGAAGCTGTCATCAGTAGGTTGTTACTTTACAGAAATTCCCTGTTTATTCAGTCCTTCTGTAATAGCTGAGAAAAAAACATGAACAATTTTTCCAAGACAGATGCATGTTTTTGCCCAGTCTTGTGGATGCTTAAGCAATACATTCCTGTGGCAAAGACCTGACCTGAAGACATTGGGACCCTTCCCAATCTGATTTCAAGCTTGTCAGCACTATCCAAAACAAGACAACTAGCCTGACACAGGCTGACCCTGCTTCAAGTTGGGCTTGGACAATGCTGCCTCTGGAGAACCCAGCCAGCCTAAGTTCTTCTAAGGAAGGATTTTAACACACATTGGGATGGTCATGTCCTACTCAATGCAAGTACCATACCGACAAAGGCAGTATCTTCAGGGGGTTATTGGCAATGACAGGCAATGGTAATGTTGCTCATGACAGCTACTGGATTTTTAGGCACTATTAGTACCAGCCTTGTTACCTACTGAAAACCCACTGTGCTCAGCTATCGGCTTTCTGTTGGCAACCCTGGCCTCTTTGACCCTATGCTGTCCTGCAGCTATGGTTGCTGTAACGAAATGGACCTTCAGGGCTCATTCCTGCCAAAACTCAGCTATGCCTTGTTATTTGTATTGGAAGGAGCTGCCATCTGGATGATTAGCATGGACCATTTTCTAACCACAGTCTGGAGGCGAAACTAACTGAAATCCCACAGTGCCAAAGCCACAACTGTTGTTTTTTTTCTTCCTTCTTTTTTTAATAGTTTGTGTTGCCTTTCCTCCACTGACTGCATGGATGGCTGAAGAAATGCAAACCAGGGCTCTCCAAGTCTGTACGTCCTGCCGGCTAAGCTAAGGAAGTGATGCTTGTTGCAGTAATGTTTCTCATTCTTCTTAGCATCATGCTACACTCCATTCTTGTTAGCATCATGCTGCACTCCAAGTTTGCATCCCTAACACCCCTTGTAAGAGTGTCCTGAGAACCCCCAAATGTGCCTACAGCCTTTTCTTCGGCCAAAGAAACAAACTTGACCTGGTAGGCTTGTAGAAACCTTGCCAAGTGAACATAGACCAGAACTTCAAACAAGAGCTCTTCACTATAGCTCCCATTCTGTTGGATTTTTATCCTGCCAGCTCCCAAGGTACACAGTGCATAACCTGCCTTCGGTATCCAGATGACCACAGCATTGTTAATGCTTATGATGCTTTTATTTCTTTCAAGTACCAGCCTTGTTTTGCAGTCTTCCCCTCAAAATGTTTTAGTATGTCTGTTCTCATTGCTCCAGGATGTCCACGCATCCATCACTAATTAGACCTCTCATGTAACTGTCTGCTTTAATCACAGAGGGGATTGCTTCAGCTGTAAAAGAGGCAGATCAAGACCTTTCAAATCTGTAACACAGCCGCTGTAAATCTGTAAAACCACAGACTCGGTCAAGGAAGAGGTGAAACAAAGCAAGACTTCTTCCCCAAAGTAAAATTCCTTAGTTCTTAAGCACACCTGTTTATCTGCATTAACATCCTGCACTTGCTTAATTCAGCCTTTCCATCTGACCACCTCTGTCAGTCACTCAAAGGAATCCTCTAATTACCAATGAAGAATCTTTCTCCCTCACTTGGCCATGCACATCCCAGGGTTTATACACCTAGGAATGAATGACAGAAACATAATTAAAAGATTTTTTTATTAAAAATCAACATATTTATACATTTGTACATTTCATATACTGCTGCATATGTTCACCAACATAACCATCAAGTCAGAAAGCATTAACGGTAAAAATTTCCATCTGAACAAATTTACTGCAGGGGAACTTCAGTTTTGTAATCAATCAGACATTACAGAATGTCATAAACTTCTTTTCCCTTTAAAAGTAGCAGCACGTTTAATTATCACTGTTCACAAAGCATAAGCCCAAAGTGTTTTACAGCAAGAGAAAAATTAATTAGTAAATACAGGCAAGAGGAAAAGAGCTCACAATGGAAATGCGTTCACTGCTGCCTATTATAAACAGCAGGATGTTAATAAAACGCTTAGAGCTGAATAGAGACTATAGCAAATGGGGAAGGACAACAGAATAAAAGGTTACTTCTTGATACAACAGTATAAAATAAAGTATTTTTTTTTAATGTCATTCAGGGTAAGAGTCCTGCAAAGTACAGGCATTGTTATAAAGATTCAGCAGTCAGAATAATGCTTGTGTGTTCAAACACATAATGAAGGTCTGAAGAAACATATGTATACTCCATCCTTACCACCACCTTTCCACAGTTGACATCAGTAGGGTTTCATGTAGTTGATGCAATAAAGCAACATTTTATTGAAGACAGATGCACTCGGGGTCTACCCAGAAGATTTAAACCCATGTCACTTACGTGCTCAAAGACTGACATTTAGTAGGTAACAAAGGTTGGGAAGTTTTTGGAAACTGGAAGCAGAGGGAATCAAGAGAGAGGTTATCGTAACCCAGACTCCAGTGCAGACCTGAGCCACCATGGTAAGGGCTACCTGAAGAAGTCAGTTCAGAGGCTACTGTGGTGCTCTCTATGCAACAAAACCCAATTGCTTATTTTCTCCACATTTTGAGCATTCTGGGCAACTTTTTCTCATTAGAAACTTTCTTTATTTGATTTAGAGAGTGGGAAAACTGCAAACGATGACCTATACAAAGTACAGGTAATTTTTATGTAAGGAAGTGTGGAGATATAAAAAGGATTTAACAAGTGCTTTTTGTATGTAGCAGCAACTGTAACGGAGACTGCTAAAAAAGTCAGAGCTGCAGTAGTTCTGTAATTAGAGGTTACATGTTAAGCAAACATTCCTTAATAGCTGCAAAAGCATCTGTGTGAGACTAACCTCATTCATCATGTCCTGAATCACAGACACTGTCACATTAAAACAAAAAACAATCTGCACTACTGTTTTGTTTTTCACACTTTTGAAGTTAGAGGAGCCTCTTATGGGGAGAAAAAAAAATATATGTGAGAGATGAATTACAAACACAAATAATTTAGCAAGAGCTAAATAAGAAGAAATAGTCTGTAAGATTCTCCTCTCTCTAAAGGCAGGTTTAAGACACCACATTTCCTAAATTGAGAGAAAAAGATTGCATCATGTTGGAACTTCCAGAACCCATTTAATTTTCAAACTAGAAGGGCAATGAAAGAAAGGTTCCTCTTTCCTGACTCTCCTCCTCTATGTATACACTCAGCAATTAATAACTGGATTACCACTCATTCGCTCCTTGCTGCTGCAGCCATACAAAGAACTTACCACAGTAGCAATGCTGTCCCAGGACTTCAGGTACATACAACAAGAGCCAGCAAACTGACAGTGCCTAAATAAAAGGAGGAATGAACTCAGGCTCTTCAATGTGAGGTTCTCCTACCCAAAAGGCATGTTGTAATTGTCCTACCTAAGGAAATTTGAAGGCAGACCTTTCATAAATTTCCTGGTGATGAAGTACAGCATACCATGTGCCACTCTGATGAAGGTTGGTATTTCTTCTGGTCGAGTATCATCCCAATTGCTCAAGTGCTGTATGCACACTTGAAAGAGCATCTTCCATCTACCACTATCCTGCTGAGCAATTTGCTCTGCCTCAGGCTCATATGTGGACTTTATCTTTTTGTTACCATAGGACTTCCGTATTAATTCATCCAAATGAGTTCTAGTACGAAATCTAACAAAGAAATGGGTAACAGTGCATGCATCAAATGTCAATGTTTTTTCCAGTCCACATTTCTGGTGGGCTAAAAGAATTAAATCCTCCAACTGTAATATTTATCACCCTTTCGGTCATCTATGATTGCAAGTATGCTACCTTGCATTACTGTGATTTCTGTATGTTTTGTATGTACAATTATTGTTACTGCAGGATTTTAGTCAAAGTACAAATCTGAAAAGTGTTGAATATTAATAAAAAACTGTCCAATCTTTTACAGACATACCTTTGCATGCAACAACAATTACAATGTTACGATGTGGCCTCGAATGGTATGATCTCTGTTCCATTGCAATACTAGTTGACAAGGCTAAGTTCATCACTACCTAGTGGGTAGAATTAGTCTTAATCATGAAGAGTGGTCTTTGGCTTAGTACCTCCTTATCAGACAGGAGAAGAGCAGACTAAGGATGCATGCAGCAAAAGAAAGCATTTCTACTGCACGCTATTGCACACAAAAGGCTTATCACATCTTTGTAAAAACACTTCCTCTCTATCAGGATTTTGAGGACAGGGGACTACAAATTTGTCCGTTGTCATTGCCCACTGTACACACAACGTTTGAAAGCCATGAATACAAGATATAGAAGAATTTGCTCATACAAGTGCCACAGAAGAATTTGTCTTTTTTGAAGGTGCATTTCACTAAACATTTCTTACACGTCTTAGTAGAAAGCACTAATACTCCTTACTTGGATTTTATGCAATTTTTTAAAACCCAACACAACAACTACACTTTTCCAATTTCCAACTCAGTAAATAGAACAATCCAAAGGTCTTTTGCTTCATCAGGGAAGTGGATATTTCCCCCCCTGCCCCGGATGCAGTCTGCCTGCCTCTTCCTGGAGGCAGCACTATGCTTACAAAGCTCTTTCATAAGCCAACCTTTCTGTAACAGGAGACCTCTTCCAAAACTGCATCTAGAAGATACCTCATTTTGCGGAAAGTCTCCACTCTGATTTGGAAAGCTGAAACAGGGAGCAACTGTACGAAGTCAACTGCATGCTAGTCAGTAACCTTGGTATTTATTAGAGCTTTGCAGGATTAAAATAAATGCTTTGACTTTGAATTACTTTTATTTAAAGTCACCATTTTTAACCTCTCTTGTGGGAAGCTGCTTCTTTTAAACTGATTGCTTTAAAATGGTTAAATAGCAATGTCAATACTTATCAGGGAAGTTAAAGTGGTTTTGTTGTTATTTGAAAAGCTTCTGTTTTCAGGATGTTTTGCAGAATTTAACAAATCCAATACCTCTGTAATACACCTTTGTAGATTTCTTCCCAATTATACTTTCTTTCCATTATTCTGATTGCAAAAAGTCATCCACAAGTTATAAAAACCTGTTCTTGTGGAGTTCCCATCTGCCTAAGTTATGTTATAGCCAACATTTAGCACATAACCTGTACACTTATCTATCAGGCACATCTGTAGCCTCAAAAGAAACTCTAGAATGATATAAGATCAATTTATTCAACTGTATGTACAGCATATTTGCATATTAATAAATAAATCAATATTAAAGTTAAGGTCTCTTCCCCCATATAAAAGTGACTACAATCTGACCAGATAATCTGACCTCTTTTTATCTTCCAAGCACAGCTGTGTGACTGAGGCTATTAGTTTCCACTTAAGCTTTTTTTTTTACAGTAACTGTAGGAGTAGAAACCTAATGGACCAGTGCTTACTTACATTTAAACCCTATATAGCAGAGGAGAGGGGAAGTACTGAAAAGTGCATCAAAAGTCAACGATTTGTAGAGCAAAAATAAAGTTTATAATGTGATCGTAGGGAAGAGAATCCAGCCCAAAAGAGGACATGCTGCAGCGAATGTTATAACCAATGCACATTTTTGTCTTGATAGTAAGCTGCATGATGCCAGTCCTGTCACATAATGTTCCAAGAATCCCATCCAAGATGCCATCTCCACCTCTACAAACTTATCGACACCACGTTCAGTGCAAAGTGACATTTCTTAAAATAACTGTTTGCCTTGTCTCCGTAACATTCACCATTATTGTGAAGAGAAGGCTCATTTCCTTTAACTGTTTATTACTATACACAGAAGAGCCTACATATGCACCTCTCGATTTCTGGTAGCGAATTTTCTTCTATCTACATTCATTAGAAATTAAAAAGATAACTGGTGATATTTCATATTTACTGGAAGTTTTCCCATTAACCCAAAGACTCAGTGTTCATCTTGATTTATACTTAAAGTAGCTGCACTTTGTTCTTTTTTCCAACCCACTTTCAATGGGGTGTAAGTCCTGGGAACCACTGGGACCAGAACATATTTCAAGTCTGATTGCTGGAGCTGGAAGAGTGATGGATCATGTTTGAATTCAGATGTCTGTTTGCGGCACAGTGTGTGTGCACCATACCACCATTTGGGTATCTTACAAAGACAGGCTCGCAGAAAGTATTTTGGCACACCTGACAGACGTTTTTGTCCGAAAGAAGAATTGGAGTTCCTCTTTGTTTAACCTAAAAAGAGGGAAAAAAACATCCAAACATGAGTCTAACAAGAAAGGAAGGGAAATTATAAACGTATGTAATTTCATCTCTACCAAATGGTCAAGCATGGTCAATGATAAAGACAGTAGGAAAAAACAGCTTGAACTATTTAACTTGAATTCAGTTTCCACATTCATATTTCATTTTCATGCTTCCTCTTATGTACTGCCTTTTTTTTTATTTTCCCCTTATTTTTCTTCTCTGTTTAATAAAGAAAAGCCCTCATATTTAATGCAACTGCAAACCTGAGGCAGCTTCCTAAACATGGTCACAGGACAGCTCCACACATACTCAGCACTGATTCACTTTTGAGACAGATTCTGCTGGGTATACCATTGTTAAAACTAAACGGATTTAAGAATCTGCTGGGAGCTTTAAACAACACAGTTCTAGCTAGGAACAGAAGAAAGTTTAATAAGTGAATTCCTCACTAACAAAAGCTACGAACAAGTAGCTGAGTAAACTTTGTTGTAAGTTCTTACAGGTCTCAATCCTAGTGAAAAAATGCTAACTCACATTTGTTAAAGTTTCTGCAAGAACTTGTTAATCGATAAATCCCAGATTCACTTTCATTCAGCCCAAAAGTTCACCAAAGCTCTTCCTATTGCAAGGCCCCACCTTCCATTTTGTTTTACAGAGAAAGCATAAAATTAAATCTGAATGTAGCAGTCATGGTAAAAAAAGTTAATAAATGCAGTAAGTATATTTGCCAAGGACACGAAGACAGCTTTGGCCTAATTCATAGAATCGCAGAATCATCTAGGTTGGAAAAGACCTTTAAGATCAAGTCCAATCATTACCCCAGGACTGCCAAGTCCTCTACTAAACCATGTAACTGAGGACCTCATCTTCATGTTTTCTAAATGCTAACAGGGGTAGCGATGTCACCATTTCCCTAGGCAGCCTGTTCTAACACCTGATCACCATCTCGATGAAGACTTTTTTCCTAATATCCAATCTAAACCTCCCCTGGTGCAGCTTGAGGCCATTACCTCTTGTACTGCCACTTCTTACTTGGGAGAATAGACCAACCACCACCTCAAATTCTTCAAACTTCTTTTGACATTATCACATATCAAAGGACTTAACTATAAAGCTTCTAAGCAACCTACCTTCTCATATTTGTAGATTAAGTTTTCAGCTTGTGCTAATCCAAGTGCAGCCTGAGTCATTCTTTTTGTATGAATGCTTTGCCTCACTGCTCCAGCCAAGAACGGGGAGAGGAGCTGCACTGACCAGCTGTCAGGCACCACTTGCAAAACTAGACTTGCATCAAATTCAGCAGCATGGTTATTCAAGAGGTCCACAGCAGCCATGAATAGTGCACAATCCGAACTGCCTGGATTTAGATACACTGACAGCAACATATGGAAAAGCCTCCGTCTGTACTGCATGTCTCTGTTCTCAGAGTTCCATATACAGTATTCTTCAGCAGCATGGTAGTCCTTTAACTCGTGGACAAGGATATGCAAAGCCTTCTCATGTTCTTCTAGTTTTCCATATAAAATTGCACTTTCCATATGAAGGTCTGTGCCCTGGATTTTGTCTGTTAAATGAGAAACAAGGCAATATTTTATTCAGTGGAGTAGAAAACTACTCCCTCTCACAGTCAATGCAAACAAGCCCACAGACAAAACTCCTGCTATTTTTGCAGGGGTGCTGGCAGCTATAAAGAGAATAGATTTTTATAAGCACAAGAATGTTTAGATGTACAGAAACATCCCACACAAAAGAGCAACACAAAAATATGGGAAAAAGAGATTACTAAGTAACAGTTGTAAAACCAATGCCACCCATATCTTTTAAATTCTAGCATGTCAGTCTTGCACATTTCTGCACACACTGCTACCATGTATGATAAACTAAGATGAAGCCCCAAACTTTTTAATCTCTGCTTTATACATTATAGAAAATAACAAAATAGTTTGAAGTTCACAGAAGACAAAGGTCAAATAGTACCTTGCTTTAAGAAAGCACACAACAAACCCTTAATCCAGTCTGACAGTTCAAAGGTGAAATGTCAGCAACGGGCTGGGGGAATGGCAAGTTCATCTGGCATTTCAAGATAAACTAGAAAATCCTCTACTTACAATAAAGGTGATAAAGATTTGGCATAGGCCTCTATAAAAAGTATGGAAATAAAATGTTTTTCTCCCCAAAATATTTTGCTTATCAAGAAGGAACAAAGTAGTGTTCACTGATCTCACCTTCATGTAAGATAAGAATTGTCATGTAAGAAATCCTGTGTTTTGGACTACATGGATTTCAAGAGTATAATCCATGTTGTAACTCTTGCCCTTAAAAATCGGGTTAAAAATTAAAAGATGAAAAAGAGCAAGAGTTTCAATGATGCTGTTATACTGGTACATTATCTGTCACAACGTTTTGCTGACTGGAAAGGCAAGGGGACATTACACATTGGTAAATTATTTCAGTTGTTACTCAGTTATTTTTATTTCCACATCCACTGGATTTTTCCATGAAATTTTTGAGGAACATTTGAGATCTTTCAGTACAATAATAAGTCATTTCTCTTTCATCCACTATTGCAGCAGATGAAACCTTAAAAATTAGGCATTAAAAGCACTGGCCAAGGAAAAAAAATAGCCCAATTGTTTCTGGCCTTATACCAACAGTAAAACATATGTTGCACTTTTGACTCGAGAAGATGCTCATGTTTTTGTTTGGCATGAACCCCACCTTCTGGGGTAAGAGCGGGTTATGGACAACAAACAATTCCTTGGTAATCAGATTCATCAAAGCTTTGCTTCAGTTCACCGAGACAGGCTGCTTGACTAAATTGATAAGTCCTCCATTTGCAAAACACTGTCACAAGTTCCATGCTCATCATGGAAAAGAAACTGACTATAAATTAAGAAAATTGTATGAAGATATGTTTTCTAGCTAGTTATGGTATTCTGTGGTGCAGTGATAAACTTATCGTTATACCTCATGAACTGTGGGAGACCAAACACAACACTAACAGATACAGTTTCTGAATTAGCTTGTGTCTGTTAGAAATAGAGCTGGTAAGCCTATCAACCCAGTACACCTAGATATCCCAGATCTTTTAGTTTTCTATCTTTATGAGGACTTAATTTTGTTTCCTGCTAGAACTGACACAGAGCATCTACAATAGAATAGACAACATGCACCTTACCCAAAATAAAGTGAATTCTATAAAGATCAGATTTCTGAAGAAGATTGCGTAGTTTAAGCAGCAGTTCAGTTGCTTCTGTACAATTATCTGTGGTCACAGATTTTAGCTGAAGTATTGCCTCCAAGTACAAGACAGCTAGATGAGTATGGTACTTTTCCTTCTACAGATGAAAAGAACTTGTTAGCTTAGTTTAAAAAGACAATCCCTTCTCTCCACCAGTAACAGCGATGAATATTTACATAATTATATAGAAAAAATATTTTAAATTAGTTACTCAAAGTCTTTTGTTCATGCAGATAGACAACTTACTCAGCCCAGCTTCACAAGATATACTGTACCTATAGATGGGATTCTCTATTCCACTAATACAGCTATTTTCAAAATGTAGGTATAAAATCTTATCCCTACCCCCCCGCCTTCACTTTCAAGAAACAAGCTCTATAAGTAGCTTTTCTTGTCCCAAAATTATTTCCTTTCAAAAGTTCACTTAATCAAAGTAAATACAGTAAAGCAGATCTCTCTTCTCTGAATACAAGTATGACCTTCACTGTGTCTTCTCCTTTCGTTTCCCTTGTAAAATTAGTAACTTTGATCTAATTAATTCTTCCTCATATTCAGGTATGCTCTTTGCCCTTTTCAATTTCTGCTATACTAACTGAGAAAGCCAGCAGAGGCAGACAAGCACTCTGAAGGTACAGCGCTTTTTGTGTTATTCACTTCCCAATATTCATCAAAACAAGTTATGGTTTGACTGTTCAACACATTCTCACTAAAGCATTCATAATAAAACTAGGGACTTTCTAAAGACCATATCAATTTAAAACCCAGCCTTTACTAGCAGGCAAATTTAATTATAAAATATTTTTATTAAAAATATTCCACAAGGAACTGTTTGTTTGACTCAAAAAGTTTGATTAAAAATATTCATGACATGCGAAACTAGTACATTCCTCCACCATGTCACAAACCTTAACATATTTGCATTAGCAACAGATGGGAACCATTGATGTAGCATGTGTATTTAAAAAATGTAAATTAGTGAACTGGTCATCAGTTCTGCTGAGTTCTTTTAATGTTAATTTCCTTGCTTTATTTGCAGTGACTTCCCCAGTGTTTAAAATGTCCCATAGGCAAGCACCAAAATGTTTGGCTGCTTCTGTATGGTAGAATACACTGTCACTTATGACTTGTTAACCCATCTTTTGACATTCAAAATCTAGAGCGGTTTGGAATTCTACAATGAGAGGTGCATGGTTTAATTCTATCACTAATTGCTCAAACTTTTCCAGAAGGACAGAATAAAACATACCTAGTAGTAAACGACTGAATTAGCAAGTTTAGTGTATTGCTGCCATAATGCAATAGGTAGCAGTTGCTCAACCATTTTTCCATGGTCTTACCAGATGGAGGTTTGAGCCTCATTGATGAAAAAGTATGCAATAATCAGATATTAAAAAATAAAATCCAAATCCAAACCTCTGAGGAGAAGTAAGCAACTGTATTGCTATCACAAGAGATGAAAGTTAAAAATAATGCACATATCTGCTTCTCATCTACTTTAATCTTAAAGCCAATCCTACCCTACTCTGAGTACATCCCCAAACCCTTAAATTATGCTTATTTCTTCTAGACTATGGCTTTTTATCAGAATTGTTCAGTATGCATTCTGAATCTTATGCCTACTTTAAGTATTCTTGTAGTACTCACCTCTATTTTCCTTTCCAATACCAGATACTCTAGGTATTTAACACGTGCTTTAGGATATTTGTTAAGGCAACTGATGATATCATCTGGATTAATGTTGTTTTTCTCCTGTTCTTCCAAAGGCCTTTTAGTGAAAATCTGTACACCAACCTAGAAAGAATTGCATTTAGTAGCAACCACTTTATTACATTTTTTTAAGATACTTATTTAGTCCCACTAACAGATTGTTTAGCACATTATTCAGGACGATAAACACCACAAACCTCTACCCAACACAATACCACCAAGATTACATTAATAGGAGCTTATCACGATCTTACTCACTCCTATCTCCACTACCCCAATTCATAGTCTATACATTATCCAGCCTATAAACCTTGTGTTGGGCACAAGAAGTACTGAACAGATCTGCGTAACAGCAGAACGAGAGACTTTGGCCTCTGCAGCAAGAAAGTGCAAGTCAGACACCAGAATGCTTACAGCCTTATTAAATGTGATGATATACACAGAGCAAGAGCCTTCTATTATGACCAAAAGTTCAGAAACTTGTCATTGCATGTAATAACTGAGTTTTAAATTAAAACAAATCAGGTTGTGACAAGCTCCAGCTGCACAGGTTGATACAGCAACAGACATCCCATTTGACAGCACACCACACTAATGATGCTACAAAGTAACGTTTGTAATTCTGGTGGATTAAATTAACTCTTGTAGCAATGAGGTCTCATTCATGTTAAATGAAGGCTATTTATTCCACATCCCAGTGTACAGAGACATGACCTGTCCCTGGAATCCTTAAAAAAAACAACAAACAAAAAAAAAAAAACCACAAAACACAGCAGCAACAGTTAACCTATTAAGTGATTTTCTTTCCCCACACCCCCAACCTTTTTTTAAGATCTGAAAATTATTTTGCCTCATATGAAAAAAAAATGAAAACATAAAATCATAGAATAGTTAGGGTTGGAAAGGACCTTAAGATCATCAGGTTCCAACCCCCCTGCCATGGGTAGGGACACCTCACACTAAACCATGTCACCCAAGGCTCTGTCCAAACTGGCCTTGAACACCACTAGGGATGGAGCATTCACAACCTCCCTGGGCAACCTATTCCAGTGCCTCACCACCCTTGCAGTAAAGAACTTCCTCCTTATATCCAATCTAAACTTCCCCTGTTTAAGTTTTAACCCATTACTCCTTGTTCTACGACTACAGTCGCTAATGAAGTCCCTTCCCCAGCAACCTTGTAGGCCCCTTTCAGATACTGGAAGGCTGTTGTGAGGTCTCCACGCAGCCTTCTCTTCTCCAGGCTGAACAGCCCCAACTTTCTCAGCCTCTCTTCATATGGGAGGTGTTCCAGTCCCCTGATCATCCTCGTGGCCCTCCTCTGGACTTGTTCCAACAGTTCCATGTCCTTTTTATGTTGAGGACACCAGAACTGCACACAATACACCAAGTGAGGCCTCACAAAAGCATAGTAGAGGCATGCTGTAACTGTCATTGTACAAAATCACCCAAACTTCATTTTCAAGAAAAAAAGGCAATTATCACTAGCAATTGTTAAGAGAAGGACTTAAAAGAACTGAAAAACCTGGAAGTTTTCTTCTGTTGATCACTATTTAGCTGGCATTAAATAGTCTACAAAAATGGTCCAAATAGCTATCAAGATGGAACAATGTTACTGAACACCCAAACAGCACTGCAGAGAAATACTGATATTCTGTGAGAAGCGCACTAATTACAAACCTCTTCATTTTTCTGTAAAACCCATTCAAAGTATTTCCACACTAGATCTTGGTCTGAGCAGAACGTAAGGAAGTCTACTATATATTCATAGAGATCTGAACGTGTAGAGTCTTCAATGTCTCCATCAACTATTTTCACCCATAACTGCAATAAAAACACACACAGATTAAAGTGATTAAAACATGTACAAGTTCTTCCAACTCAAAATTTAAGTAAGCTACTACAAGACTTAGTATTATCTACTGGTACCTGTGGAATTAGAGCTCCTACGAACATCCATTGTAAGGGTTCTCACTGGTCACTAAATTTAAACCATCACATACTTCTTTTGAACCTGCCATATTCAACTAATTCGGACCCTGTATCATGTACGTTCTCATTCTAAATGACTGACCAAATACTTCGGGGAGGTACGCTAACCACAAAAAAAATCTTTTGGTAAAAGTTATTTTCCCCGGTGGTATGCTTCTCATGCATTCTATGCGTGAAAGATTAAAAGAAAATGACACAAACAATTTGGAAGAAAACCTGATACTGTGCTCTCCTTTCATTTTGACTCAAGAACTTTACCCTGTGAGACTGCTTTTATATACATTGTAATTGGAATTAAAAGGTGCCACGTCTAGTGGACCAGTTCAGCAATAAACCTTGTTCCTTGAAACAAAGAAAAATATCTTGCACATCATGAAGATCCTTACTAGTTTTCTGCTCAGGAAATTACTATTTACATAACTGACTTGAATGCATTTGACAGTGTTACTGTGATTAAGGTACTCAAAAAGCCACACAGTAAGGCAAACTACTTAAGGCATTGGATATGGTCCGAGACATTCACACTATTTATTGATCAAGAATACATACATTTTTCTGGATGGAGTTTTCCATACAGGAATAACAAAAATGTTTAGTTTGTAGCTTACAGACCACTGCTAGTCTCAGCGACACCAGAAGGGGGTGTCCTGAAAAGGATTAATAACCCTCCTGAAACCCACAGGTCTTTCAGAATGTGTTCACTGTCCATCATCAAATAAGGAAACTCTGCTGCCAGTGTTTGCCATGTGATTACAATACTGCTTTCTGTGTGCATACAGACTAATCAGCACAGGATATGTTGCTCAAGTCCCTCAAACACCTTTTTACATGATCTTTTGATTATTTTAGCGCTTCTGTCAGACTTCTAAGAGTACAGACATTTGTTGTGGTATGCACAGTTTTTCTTTAACAAAAGCATACAAGCGTCTAAATAGCTGTCATCTTCATTAAGATCTTCACATTTTTCACATCTAGCATACTAGATTATTCAAGGAAGTCTTAGCATAAATTTCTCATATATACACATCACTACCTTTCAAACAGATAAATTAGCACCTCAGATTTTTATCATCTCAGAGGTAAACTGGCATTTTGGAATGTTTTACAGATGACACTAAAAGCTTTATTCTAACCTGAAGTGCTGTAGCATCCTGACCATTGTAGTGATACAGGAGACCAAGTGCAAAATACCTGCATATAAAGAAAAGAAATGTTATTAAAAGCACTAGATCTTTCCAACCAACTTCATTATGGCTTGAGTAGCACAGAATACAACAAATAATTGCTTGCAGTGACATACACACAGCCATGTCTACACTGCAGCAAGTGTCTGAGGGCTCTTCAGAATCAAAGGAAAGAAGTTCTGTCCTGGAAATGTGGCAGTGTCTTCTCCTGCCTCTAAGGCATTTTCTAGATTATAGTTCCAACTTAAAAAAAATGTATCAAATTAGAGCTGGCTTCCATGCATTCTGTGAATTTTATATACAGATTTAGCACACAGTTCCAAATAATAAATAGTCCTCCAATAATTAATAAGGTGTCATTAAATCAGATTTTTATGATGCTTTTACTTAAAACAGTTTTATCAACAGAAACAATGTTTCTTTACTGCAGCATGAAATCAAGTAAGGCAAGGAAGAGCTTTGTACAGTGCCATTACAGAGAGGTTTTATGTACTGTAAAAAAAACAAACAGCTGGAAGATCTGTAACAGCTGTTCTCATGGAACAATGTTCTACCCTTTACATTTCCAGACGTTTGCCAAGCAAACCAAAGGTACTAAGAGAATTTAACAAAACATCTGAAATAAATGAAACTACCCTAAATCTAACCACAATTAAAGACTTTGCCTCACCACTGCAGTTGCTACTACTGCACCACAGTTCAAAAAGATTAAAGAAACTTTAATTTAAGACAGAGAAACTATGTATGACTGGAGTTTGTATTTCACACATTTACTATATAGTCTTTCCTGCTTAATGACAGTCAATTCTCCACCTGCTGGCATTTCCAATTTGAAGTCATGTGCAGTGATCTTAAGCAACTTCCTTTTGGTGAAGCAGTGGGAGCAGAGAAAGCATGCAATTGAAAAGATCTCCTCCTCTGAATAAGCAACTACAATTTTAAAGCTGCTAGCTGGTTAGCAGCTTCCACCTAAGGTAATGCATGCTTTAAGGCATCATTTCGTTCTGAGTACCACTACCACAGCAATTCAACTCTTATATCATCACAAGGGCAAACAAATATTTCCCCCCCCCCCAAATTTGTAAGAGTCCTTTATGTTTGGGTTGGACATAGAAACTTTTAGGGTAAACTTTGCATTTACCAGCATAAGACAGAATGCATTTCCTTTACCTCACACTGTCAATTTATACCTTTTCACCAGCATTTTAAATACTGGTAAGTCAGACCAAGTTGATCTTTTGAACCTGAAAGCACAAAAATTACAAGGATCTGAACACAACTGCTCTAGAAGCCAACTGCATTTAAGACGATATTCCCTCTGGTGTCAAAGGTGCAATACTCAAAAAAATCCACTCACTTTTTGTGTTTTTCCAGCCAGGCAGCACTATCTGTTAAAAGACAAAAGTTCTCTGAAACTAGCAGATCCAGCAGGCTTTCATGATTTGCCTCTGCATATAGCTTGAGTAAAGCTGTGTCAATATCTTCCTTGTAGCCATTTGCCACCTCAGTGCTGCGGACTTCATTCAAATAACTCATGAGGAACCGTTTGCATTTTGTCATCTTCTCCTGGTCCCCTTGTGTCAGCTGGTTTAGGTCCGCATACTCATGCAGAGGGGGATGAGACCGTATAAATGAAGAGGAAGTAGGCAACAGGAAGGGGTAGAGAGAGATCAGCTCCCGGACATCAAGCTGGCCGCTTCTGCAATTACAGTGTCAAACTAGATGAAGCAAAAAGAAAGAAAAAGTATACATAGGCACAAAAAAATAACATACTGGGAATATGTGCTCACATATGCTTAGAGTCAGGACACTAACAGGTTGTCAGTTTCTAAAGTTAGTGCCTTTTATGCTGGAGAAAATATATTCAGAATAAATTTGGATTTTTTTTTTCTATTCCTATACAAACTTGTTTATTATTGTTTCTCCTCCACCAGACATTGAAAGCTCTAAGAATTAGGAGATGGGCCAGTGTTTTGATTTTGGCATCCCACATCTGCTCTGTGGCATATACAAAAATCAGCTGAACAGCCTTAGTGCAGTTCCTAGGACTGTCCTAGACTTCATCCATATACGATGGGACCTAGTCTTCTGATGGACGCAAGAAAAAAAAAAAATGCAGAGTGAACTCTTTCAGGGAAGCCACAAAGATTGTGCAGGTGTAATTCTGTAGAGAACAGCAGCTTCCCATAGAAAAGTAAAGCTTTCAGAACACCTTTTTGCATGATGAAAACCTTTTCCCCAACCCTGAAGTGTACCAAATTCTTCTGTCTCACTTCTTAAGGAGGTTCTGAAAATGAACCATTGGTACTTATTATGCATCCACCTAACCAGTAAGTAGTAGCCTACTGTACAGGCATAGGTCTTGGGCGTCCATTTATGTCAAATACTATAGAGTGGCTTTTCCACTTCAGATGTGAAGGGAATATATACTTTACTCAGGAGAAAACTGTAACAGATATACCACATGAAACATTTTTCTTTCAGCCTAGATAAAAGAAATTTCGCAAGCATTTGAAGAATGCATGCTGTGACAGAAGAGTAAAATAAGAAGATTTTTCCACACATGGCAAAACTGCCCAGTTTTCACAGCTAGACTGACTCCTCTTGCCAGGCCTTGCTTTAGAAGAACAGCAAGAAATCAGGATTTGTATTTTATTTCACTGTCACAGTCATTATTCAGAATTCATTTTTAAAGATGAGCATTCCTGAAATGCAGGAGATATTGTTGTGAAAAAAAATCAAAATGAGCTGACAGTTTTCTGGTTAGTTATTATCTTGTTGCAAATATAACTTTAAAAAAATAGTTCTAATCTATCCTGTGATCAACAACCTCAAAATGATTTTCCCTTCACAACCTTAATTGGAAAGAATTCAAAAAAACCACCCAAATTATAACCATGGAAGCAGATGAAGCAGCAGATTTCTGCAGGCAATAAAGCGTGAAAGATCTTCACATGCAGACTCATACTTTCCCTGCTGTTGTAAACTAACTAAAGAAGTGGTACATGTCCAGAGTTGTTCACTTCTTGCCAGAGACACACTTTCAAAACCACCCAGGAAATATCAACTAGTAGGAAGCACTGCGATGGCAACACTTACTTACAACTTTTTAAAAAGTAAATAAATACTGTTCTTTGGCTACAAAAATCTATGCCAAGAGAATTAAATTCTGGAAGACAGCAAGAGCAAGTTTTAAAGCAGCAAGTACCCTGTTCCAGCACCTAAGGACTGCAAAGCATGGGGACAGCAACATAGTCCATAGAGGACCACAACAGAGAAGTTCTGAACGTGGGAAGCTTTCCTGTGAGAAGAGGTTTAAATAGTAAGCTTTTCTGATTCCTACACAGAACTACTGCCTAAAAACCACCCCTACTCTAGGAAGGCCACCCTCTAACCAAGAGTAAAGTGTTCATGTCTACTTATGATGGAACGCAAAAGCAGATGAGGACTTTTTTTTTGTTTTAGGAGGAAGAATAACCAAGAAGTAGCAAGTTCTGTTAGTGGCATGACCTGATGGTTCAAAGAACATTTGGGCTTTTGATATGAACTCGTTACAGTAATCTAACTACAGCTTCGGCTAGTTCAACTACTTGTGAAAGTTTAAGGCCTGAGGACCACCAGATAAAATATACTAATGAGAGATATTACAGTAGAAAAATCAACCCTAAAGAAAGATGATTTTTTACCTCCCTCCAAGATTCTTCACTGAACATCAACAGGCTACTCAAAATTAATGCAGAAGCAAGGAATTGTGATAAATCACAGAAATTCAAGTATAAACAATAATTCCCTTACTGGCTATGATGTCTAGTATTTGGAGATGGCCTAAGCTTGTGATAGAGAATCTGACCATGGAGACAGATGAAGAAATGCTAGAAATATGCCAGCAGATGAGCAGAAGCGTTTGCACAGACTGCCATTATCTTTCCTGTTTTTTTGTCTGAGCATCAGTAAGTCAAGAACAAACAAGATCGTTAGAGTGTGTATCATGGCATAACCAGATATTACTTGAACTGGGCGCATTCACCAGGGCTGAATATCAGGAAACTTGGATTCCATGAGGAGTTTGTCAAAGTCGCCAAAATACTTTGAATAGTTTATGTACGGCTGGCCAGAAGAAAAGCACAGAAAACTTATATTTGCTTTCTCCCCCCTAGAAGACTTCAGCAATTCATGAACAGTTGCTCTGTTTTGGAGTTGCAGCTATTAGATGAAAGGAATGCTGACTCAGCTTCAAAATTCATGCCTAGACAGAATGTTTTCTTGTGAAGCATGTTTCTTTCTATAGAGAAGCTCTCACAGTCCTGTTCCTTGAAAGTCATTTGTCAGATGGACTGCTAGTTGGATGGAGGCTGCATAACTTATCTTGGCTTCTTCTACAAAGTGCTGGAGCTCCATGCAGGATACATTTCCCCCTTTCATTACTTTTAAAAGATCCTCAGCTGCTACCAGCAAGACCCCAGATTAAAACCCAACAGGGAATTATTGCCAATCAGGGTAGAATAAAGTGATAGGGAAAAAAGTTTGTTAGCCATAGTCAAGACAGCTGCAGAGCAAAATTAGTTTGGCCACCTACAATAGAAGACGCATTATAGCCAGTACAACCTTGCCAAGCTATTTTACCAAAGCTGGCCACACTGAGAAAAATTAACAAAAGTGCATTGGAAATCCATATGGAAAGGCTTTATGGTAATGCTGTAAAGGATTCCTAACTATGTTCAGCTTGTAGTTCAGACACACAACACATCTGCGATTCAGTCTAGTGTTTGGAAGATTACAAAGAGGAGGAAGACTGCAAGTGGCTCCATACTGCCAAAAATTAAAAGGTGATACAGAAAGTAGTTGTGGCCAAAACCAGATGGCCAATAAATGCTGCTCATGCACTTCCTGTCATTCCCCAATCTTCACTCAGTGTACACTGCCCATTCAGGCCCAGTGTCTCCCATTATCCTGGTAAGCAGGAGGCAAAATGGCAAAGTGCCTCATCAATAGTAACATTTCTCAAACCTTTAATTTCCTTGATACATTTCCGTAAACCCAAGGACAACCTTTTTCCTATATTGTATGCACTTAAAATGTACAGCAAATAGTCTAGCCTTAATCCTATTCCATAGACTAAACTGACTAAAAATGAATTTCAGCAGATAACAAGGAGAGTTATTTCATGTGGTCAGCATGGATTACACTAACTCTGAACAGCACCCCATCACAGAATGGGGCTCAGCTAGCAAAAACGAAATTGTCAGGTAAAATAAAGATAATTGAGCAGCATTTTTTGAATGAAAGTGGAGAACCAAGGTCAATCTGTAAACAAGTGACTGCTGAAACATTTAAATCATGAAGGTTAATACACACTTCAAGAGCAAACTATCTGTCTTCTAGAAAAGGCCTAGCAGAACAAGTATTAAATTCAGTATCAGCATCCTCAAAAAAAAAAAAAAAAAAGTGTTAACTGTGTCAATAATATTTAAATTGCAGCTAATATTTAAATAACAACTTCGTTAGATTTCTTTTACTAAGGGGGAAAAAAAAAAAACCCAAAAAGAACCAATCAATGTTCATGCTGTAAATCACAGCAGAGGCTCAATAATAAGGTCTTGAACTTCACAGGCATAAAGTAAAAAAACTTTGCTAATGTATATTAGTATACCCCCCCAAATATAAGTTGCGTTAACTCTTCAGTTACAAAACTAACTCAGTGTTACTCTGTTCTTACACCCAAAAAATCCATTTTATCCCATAAATCAACTCATAACTGCATCATAAAACATTCAAGCAACTAAATTTTTAAAACTAAGAACATTAACTCCTTATTTAAAGAAGATAAATAAATTTCTTGTCACACAATTACCTGAAGAGCTCTTTTGCTTCAAGGAACTGAAGTTGTGCAAACTGTATAAAACCTGCTTGCTGCAGGATTCGTTTGTACATTACCTATGAAAAAGAAGGGAGGGTGAAAAGGTTTAATATTTTTGTAACAAATTATTTACGTAGTGCTAGTCACTACTTCAAAACCAACCTGCCAAACCCACTGAACATACAATCTTCAACCACACCTGTCAAGTTACATGCAAATTAAAACCTTGATCCTCTACCTTTTAAACTGTATGTACCTGAATATGCCGAATCTGCTGCCCAGACTCAATTTCATACACAAGTGTGAACACAACACTGATACCGAGTTCTCACTACAGGCAAAGTCAACAAATCACAAGTTCAAGTTTTCTTATTCAAAATAATCACTTATTTGACACCAGTTTGACTTGCCTTAAGTTTCGGCTTGTATTTGCAAACACTGAAGGCAATAGTCATCTTTAAGTTCCCCATGATTCAGCAGGCACAAAAAAAAGATTTAACTGAAGGATGGTCCCTCTTGACAACACAGAGCCAACTTCCTTCCCGTCTCATCTCATTTCAGCAGCAGGCTTGCTAGTGATTCTCATAGTCTCATACCCAGCTGATCACCATATTTCTGACTTTCTTACTTTTGTTTTTTCCTCTTTTTTTAAGTAAAGGTAAATTCAACTCCCCCAGTGTGCAGTACGTCATGCAATGTACATAAAAATATGGTTAAAAAGAGGAGCTCAAGTAAAACATACAAAAAACTGTCTTATGAAGTTTTACTGTTAAGATCTTGCCTAGATAGAAAACAGTTGACAAGATGCTCACAAAACTACTTTAAACGCTAGGTATTTATTTAGTCTGAATGGTCCCTTAGTTAAATGAAACCCTCATACCCAGAATATTTCCAGTGGCAAAGTATAACTACTAAAAGCAAGGAACCCGGTGTGCTCTGCAAAGTATCCACTGTTTGTGACAACACTGATACTTTGCAAATACACTCAGCTACCTTAGAATCATAGAATAGTTAGGGTTGGAAAGGACCTTAAGATCATCAAGTTCCAACCCCCCCTGCCATGGGCAGGGACACCTCACACTAAACCATGCCACCCAAGGCCTCGTCCAACCTGGCTCTGAACACTGCCAGGGATCATAGAATCATAGAATAGTTAGGGTTGGAAAAGACCTTAAGATCATCAAGTTCCAACCCCCCTGCCATGGGCAGGGACACCTCGCTCTAAACCATATCACCCAAGGCCTTGTCCAACCTGGCCTTGAACACTGCCAGGGATGGAGCATTCACAACCTCCCTGGGCAACCCATTCCAGTGCCTCACCACCCTTACAGGAAAGAATTTCCTTATATCCAATCTAAACTTCCCCGTTTAAGTTTTAACCCATTACCCCTTGTCCTATCACTACAGTCCCTAATGAAGAGTCCATCCCCAGCATCCCTATAGGCCCCCTTCAGATACTGGAAGGCTGCTATGAGGTCTCCACGCAGCTTTCTCTTCTCCAGGCTGAACAGCCCCAACTTTCTCAGCCAATCTTCATATGGGAGGTGCTCCAGTCCCCTGATCATCCTCGTGGCCCTCCTCTGGACCTGTTCCAACAGATCCATGTCCTTTTTATGTTGAGGACACCAGAACTGCACACAATACTCCAAGTGAGGTCTCACAAGAGCAGAGTAGAGGGGCAGGATCACCTCCTTTGACCTGCTGGTCACACTCCTGATGCAGCCCAGGATACGGTTGGCCTTCTGGGCTGCAAGCGCACCCTGCTGGCTCATGCTCATTTTCTCAATGACCAGCACCTCCAAGTCCTTCTCCACAGGGCTGCTTTGAATCTCTTCCCTGCCCAGCCTGTAGCTGTGCCTGGGATTGCTCTGACCCAGGTGTAGGACGTTGCACTTGGCATGGTTAAACTTCATGAGGTTGGTACCTTCACATGCTTCAGTTTTCCCCTTCGACTTTCTCATGAATATACAGCTTTCTAATGTTTAACAGTGTACATGAATTCTATTACTAAAAACAGACCCCCTTTTCAAGCACCCAGATAATCGCAATAAATTAGCAATGTATTCCAGGCAGGCACTGCTGAATGGTCTCAGGCCTCAGGTAGGGTAGACTTATATTCAAATTGGCAATTTTTCACCTTGATTAAAGATTGTGGATTTACTGAAAGAAAAAGCTTGCCTTAAACCCACTTAGTTTGTGCATGTTTTACTATGCTTTACTAGCAGTTTATCTTAAGGAAATACTTAATATTGACCATCAGCAAGTCATTAAAACCCACCAATTTGTAAGGCTGTGGGACTTTTCTTGTCCCCCAGTGTGGGGGAGTGAAGGCAAAATTGATAAAAGCTACCTGGCACACCTTTTCAGACAAACATAATATAAAAATAAATGAACAATACTAATGACATCTTTATATTAATGTTACTATCCCTTATATCCAAGTATACTAAAGCTAAAAGGGAATTTAGTTCAAGTTATAAAGTAAAACTTTGTAACTTGATTAATTAACAAAGTATCTAAAATACTTTAGCTATACCACTGTGTTAATACATCAGTAAACTAATCTGTGAATGGATGAACACCTGTCTGTTCACATTATTAAGGATGATGGTAAAGGATTTCAGTCTGCAACTATCTGTATCTTATGGCACCAAAAGAACTTCAAAACCTGGCATCAGATTTTCCCTTTCAACCCAGGGAGGGTTGAAGTACAAATATTTCTCACCTTGCTAACTAGTACCAAAGTAGAAATTTTATTTCATTTTTTAACTCTGTAATTAGGATCACTAGTATTTACACATTTAGTAAATTATGACACTGGAATGAAGTTTGAATTGATCTAACACACTGTAAATAATGCTTTAATTGTAGAGCTTAGTTTGTACAGCAGTTAGAAGATAAAAAGAGCTTGTTGCTACTATAAGCCCAATGATTGTGTTTTAAATTTGAACTGATTAAGTGGCATTCATCTGCATTTAAATGTTGCCATATCTTCATGAATCCCTTAAAGTCACACAACAACAACAAAACCACTATAATGTTCATAGACACTTTCTCAACATTTTAAAGATGCAGGGATGGCATAGGGAGTAAAGAGGTTCATTTTTAGCCAACAAGATAAACACTAGACATTAAGATGTCCTGTGGTAAAGACTGTGGAAGTAACAGACCAGACTGTCTGTGAAAAAGTCAATAGTCCCTCTCTCTGAGGTTTTTAAAAATTGGCTAAACCTATATGCCAACCACCCACAGTTAACTGTTGTTCACAAAAGAAAAAACGTCCTGAGTTATTCCACACTTGTTTGCCAGAATAGCTCAACAGGCTTATTTTTTAAAACTACTAAGTTACACCCAGTGAAAATTCAACACATTGCTTATTCACCTAATATTTTTGAAGAACCACTATAGGACTTAATCATAGAATAGTCAGGGTTGGAAAGGACCTTAAGATCATCAAGCTCCAATCCCCCTGCCATGGGCAGGGACACCTCACACTCAACCATATCACCAAAGGATCGTCCAACCTGACACTGCCAGGGATGGAGCATTCACAACCTCCCTGGGCTTTACAGAAAAAATCTGTATTGTTGACTGAATTCACATTAAAAAAAAAAAAAAAGCTACAAAACCATGAAATAAGATTCTTATTAATTTGTACCTGAAAAAGCACTAGATAACAGGAAGTTGACTACTGAAGCTGTGACAGCTATAGTGAAGCCTTTCAGCTGCTAGAAAAAAACCCCTAAAATGGTCAGAATTGCCAGTTAGATTGCCAAAAAAATTTCTAGAAAGACACTTTGTCTTTTGGTCACTTTTGGGTGCTGTTTATGTCTTTTAGAAACTAAAAACAAATAAGAGAAAAAAAAAAAAGAAAAAAGAGATACCTATGGAAGATGTGTGTCAATCTAACCAAGGTCTTCACTACCATCAACCATGATTTCTGCAAACTTCAGCTGTCCTGAAAAATTAATAAGCAGTATTCAGTCAGTTCATGGTAGCATGGTAGAAAAGCCTTTGTATTCTCCTACCAAAAATGATAGCCAGCAACGCCATTTCCTTGCAACACTTTTGCTTATCCTGTTTTTACCTAGCGGTAATTCCTGATGCCCAAAGACAAAGTAATTTTCATTTAATACTGCAGAGATAAATTTGCAGTCTGCAGGTACCACTGGTTAAGTAACAGATTAGAGTTACTAATGCACGATCTGCTTCTTTCCAGTAACTAAATGTTGGCTGTACAAACAATTCTGAGAGTACAATACTTTACTGTTTCAGTCCCACTATCATTCTGCATTACCACCAACTATATTGATATATTTATGCTGATAGAAAGAGAAGAAGCAAGCCCCTTTGTATGCATGCAATGAGAATGCAGTATTGAACTGCAAGAAAAGAAAATCCAGGTTGTTCCAGAGTCAACTGTCCAACAATGCCATGACTGATTTCAAGTCACAAGTTGGCAACAGCCATTGCAAACTGCAGAAATTAAAGCAGCATCTGGAAAAGGAGGCACTATACTAAATGTACCAGACAATTCCTATCACTTTTCTGTATGGCTAAATTAGAGTGGCTAGATCAAGTGCCTTACTACCAAATCCTATGCATTCCTTCCCACCGCTCATATAAAATAGCAAAATAAGGCATTGAAAGTTTCAACTACTGAGGAATCAGTAAAGTTTACAAAATATGTATCTGAAGATGTCGATTTGAAGATACCTATTTTCTACCTTGCTATAATCTGTCACCTGAAGATCTCTCTTAGACAGGAGTTAGAAAGAAGTAACTATGTGATCAGTGAAAGTATGTCAAAGAAATGTTGCAAAAGACACACGTATGGCATGTAATTGGGTTGAACTCCATCAGATTTATATTATGTGAGACTACAGTAAAAAAAAGTCTGATGTGCTTGTAACTAACCTGTAATGACAGCATTAAGTATCAGAGGCAAACTCAACATGTCACTTTCAACTAGATAAGCTCTGAAAAACTGGACTAATATCTCAACAAATTAAGCCAAGTTGAGTCAATTTAATATAAGTCAGTGGGAGACTCCATCAATTTAAGCTGGTTAATCTCAGTTTACAAATACAGACTAGAACAGACTATTATTTTGCTTGCAAGTACTATGTTTTCTGTTTTTCAGCTGTAGCACTGACTCAAAGCAATTGAACACCCTTAAAAGCATATTAAGTTAGCAAGAACATTTAATATTCTTGGAAACAGCAATTTAAGGTAGACAGACATTGTGAACATAAGACACGTATGAACAGAAAGTAAATTATCAGACAGAAAAATCCTAAATGCAAGCAAACTTGGGAGGAATGAGACTTTATGCCACATATTTTAGATAATGAACTGCAGTTCAACCTGTGGTAAAACACAAAAAGACATCTACACTACATCTACATAAACTGAAAAAAAATAATGGGAGAATTACAGGTCATCATACATAGAAGACATTGATTAGAACATGCATTCTGTCCTCACAGCAAGATTTAAGTTTATTTCTTTAAACAGATTGTAAATGAAAAGTTGGAAGCAAAGATGCAAACCAAAGCATGCTGGAAACTGAATTCTGCATTTGCTTAAATACTTTTCAGCTTCCAGTACTTCCAGGCAGCTGTATCTTCGCAAAAGGATGGGAACACCTTTCTCACCAAACTTTTTACTTCCAGCAGCCTACCCAGCTGTTCATTCACCAAACAAGGATAACAATGAAAGCTGATACAAATTTAATTTAATGACTACTTTTCAAGGGCTTGACCAAAATTTAAATGAGAAGGAATTAGAAACTTCCTGACATTAAAATAAAAATATCCTTACAGACTGAATCATTTTGAACCACTGTAGCTCTGCAATCACCACAGTTATGTTCCTAACTTTGTATCTTCCTAAATAAACTGAAAGCTATGCTACAGATACTATTTCAATGGTAACAAAATGCTTCAACAACCGCACTTGGTATGAGGGAAGCATCACATGGGACTTTCTATTACTAGTTTTTCAGTTTTGTTTTAAACTGTTTTCAAGTTACACACATGAAAAAAACCCAACACCAGCAGAACTGCATTCAACTCTTCCAACGTCATAGCCTTTACAAGCACTGCCCAATTCAGCAGCATGTCTATTTCATCAGGCTGAAACCATAAAAGGTGTTAGATTTCTCTTCTATGTAAATTCCTCCTCCACCTTCTCTGGTCCCTTGACCATCATATACATGGTCGCACTATGAGAATTATGTTTTTCATGAAAATTAGAGGAAGGACAGACCTGAAATTTCTCTTTTGGAATATTCCTTCGAGCTCCTTTTGCTAGAACAAGGGCTTCTTCCACTCTGTGGCTGGCTAGAAGATCCTGAATCTGTTTTTCCAAAGGTAGCGGCACCAAGATATACACTCCTTTATTAGTAGCAACAATCACCTTTCCTGGGCAGAGAAAAAGGATATATTCAGTTTACATTCTTGATAGAACCCCTCTTCCCCGCCCCTGCTTTCAGAAATAGCCTTTAAGATTTACTAAGATACAAAAACCTGAACAGTGTTAAAAGTTCCAAAAGCTCATCTCTTGCTATCATATTTACCAGATAGTATAGTTTACCTATAAACTGCACCTCAGAAATACAGAGATAATGGTAATTTTATTTATTTACAGATGATATTCCACTCTGAGTAAATGAAAGTGGCTATAATCTCTCATGATGAACTAAGCTGTAAAAACCACCGCTGAACCTACTGCCCAGATTCCATAGCACAGAGACTTTTAACTGCCAGGTATTCCACAGGCTTCCGTTATAAAATTGTAAGCTGTATGTCAAAGGTAGCAAGTAACATACATTTCATAATGCTAGAGCTTGTAGCTCTCCTAAAAAAAAAAAAAAAAAAACAAAACAGAAATGGAATGTATTAAGTCCTTAATTGAAGAACAAGTAAAAAAAATGTTTCTGGTTTTTCTTTAACAATTCTTTATGACATGACCCATTTTAAGCCTCTTACACTGCTATTTTACAAAGTACAAAAGAATTCCTTTAGGAGTTAGGTTAGACCTTTGTCAGGACAGCCAATGGACAGACACCTGTAGCTCCCAATTGTTGACTCATAAATTAACATTGCTCCTTGGAAAGAGATAATCAAGTTACATGAAGAAGCTCTAACCCCACAGACTCCTACCCAACAATTAACTTGACAATCAGAGCACGTTTGATGAGCATACATTTTGTTAGAAGCATGAAATTTTGGATGACTAAAGTTTTCCTATCATAATCTGCAGGAATCTAATCAGGAAAGCATTTACAATAGAAGTTTTAACAAGTAATTTTTAACAGGTGCTTACTAGATACTGTGTTTAAAATACAAACTAAGTGACTATGCCTACAGCAGTGGTTGTTCCAGAACTACTGATTCAGAGACCAGTCATTTTTAATACCTTCAAAGTCCTGTAGAATGTGACCTTCTTTAAAAGGCAGGGTTTGTTTTTGCTGCTGGTCCAGCATGCTGTGCACTGTAATGAACTCGTCATCGAGAGCAACTACATAAGGAAAGCACAAAGCTGCTCCAATCACGTTCTCTGACCAGTGCACAGGGGCACGCTGTGAAATGCCGTCTACAGTTGCAAACATGCCTAGAAAAAGGGAAAAACAAAGCCTGAGCATTGTGCTGGTTGAAGACTGTTGCCTTTCCAATATGAAGCATGGGTACCGAGGTACAGAAATAAAGTCTCAGAAGAACAAATGCAGTGTCAGGTGGTATGATGATGGCACATCACACCTTCGTGGACCACACAGACCTGATGGTTAGTTCAGTTCAATTTTTCCTTTACCACAGAAACACCAAGAACTGAAGAGAGGATTACTGAAAGAACTAGCAAGAATTTTCAAGTTTATTAAGTCCCAAGATTCTTTAATAAGAATTATGCCATGTAGCTTGAATTCATTTCAAAACACTGGTATTTAGTCAAACCCAGCATTCAAACAATACTGCCTTAGTGAGAGCTTCAGAACTGCACTGCCTGACCTATCTGGCAATACAGGCATATTTGTTCCTTGTAGAGTCAAATATCTAAGGAGCATTTTAGTTGACAGCCAGCCATTCACTTGTCAATTCTGAGTCACTTCCTGCGAGGCATCTGTGTTTTCAGTCATTTCAAAAGAACACAGAGGCTGCATATAAAGGTTTGTGCCAAAAGCCAAGTGCAAAGTAAAGATTTAATTAATATCCCAATGATACCTCCTATGTGGCCTTCAAAAAAAACATTTTAAATCTTCAGTTAATTTGTGGGGTTTTTTTGCCACTATCTTTCCTCCTGTCTATTCTGTCCTCCTTCCTTCTCCTGGCTTAATAAGAGTTTGACTTGCTTTTGGACACTGCGCCACTGGTCCTATTCTCCAGTTCTTTCCAAGACATTAGTTAAAGAAAAACTCCAGTCAAAGCTTTCAGGCCTAGTTCAGTAACCCTTTGCCAGCTGAGCCACACCGAGGCATGACGTAAACTTCTGTTCTAAACATGAACACATATTCCTTAAAAAGACATGCCATGAAAATTGTTCTTTGGCATGAATGAGCCACTTGACAGCTGGTAGAATAAGCCTGAGCTCTAAAGGACAGAGGAGATTGAAAGATTATGTTACTGAATTTGCAGAATCTCTTCCAAACGAGGATAATGAGGCATGGGTAGTTGGGCACAAGGACTGTCTTGGAATTAAAAAGAACAAAAAAAAAAAGAAAACAGAGGGCTGTAGATTTTTACAGAACTAGAGTATAGAGACTCAGCTTCTGGATCCTTTATAGCAGCATTGAAATCATCAGCCCCTTCCCCTGATTAATGGTGCAGCACACAAATAGAATTTCACGTCTAGCTGTTAGCAAATAATGCTGCTTGTTTTCTCACTATAATGATCAGCTTTTCACTCAGAGCACCTTAGAGAAAATACTTTTGTTTGGCTGTAATATATAATTCCCAATTTACTCAACAGATCTCAATATTCTTATGGATCAGAAATGGAATTTTATGCCAGACAGACTGCACTATCCATATCTAATGCTTTCAAGTTGTTACTCTGTGCTATAATCCCATTTCAAAAAGTGGAAGAAAATTTGAGTTAAACACAAACTAACCAGTGGTAAACTCAAGGTTAATTATATTTGAAATATTAATTCTTAGGTTTTTCTACTTCTCTGACATTCTCAAAAAATTTATAAAATCCTGATTTTAACACCACCTTTTTCTCTTTTTTTTTTTTTTTCTTAATGACAGAGCTTTTTTTCAGGTAATATGAAAAAATCCTTTACAGAAGTGAAAGGGTATGCAGAGCAATGCACAGTATTTTTCCAAGTCAACATCGCTCTACATTCCTCTGTCCTCAATAGCTAGCGTTTCTGTGGCAGAATGATGCACTTTCCTCTCTTCATGCAGTTCTCACCTAAGGATAACAATATACTTGACAAATACAGTCAGAAGCAATGGCCTTTTTACAGTACAAGAATGCATTTCCTTAAACAGATCAAGCCAGTAATCATTTCTGTATTAAAAGCACATATGCTATCCAAAGGTTACAAGAGTTATCCAAAACACAGCTACATTATTTTCAGCATCAAGATATCTGAAATTTACAGAATCATAGAAGAATTTAAGCCAGAAGAGGTTTCTGAAGGACATTCTGTCCAGTCCTATCCCCTCCCTTAAAGAAGGGCCAACTTTTATCAGGTTACTCTGGGCTTTGTGCAATAGACTGTAGTTTTTATTTATTTGCTTGCTTTAAAACAGAAAGATTCTTTGTGAAAATATCTGTAAAAAATGAAATAACACATCTTTATTACTACTTGCTTAAAAAGGACTATGAAAGCTTTCAGTTATCATAAAAGTTGACAGCATAAGGAACACTACCAGTGGCTGAAAACAGGAAGGGAACATGCTGCTTATTGTTGACTACCCTACTGTTGCTTTATGCAGCGGCATCAGCTACAAGAAAGGCACTGCATGACCATCTATGAATCACTCTCCTTAGTATCTGTGTGCCTGTCTTAAGTTATAAACCTCGGTTCTCCAACTCCATTTGTAGTCTACTCAATCACTATACAACTGCTCAAACCATTCACCACTGAGGAGTTTATTCTGGAAAAGCAGAAGGAATAAACTAAAATCAGGTATTTAAAATTTTACTTTTTACTTATTAAAGTTAAGGAATAGTTGAAGCAGGAAGGGACCTGTGGAGATTGTCTAGCCCAACTTCCCTAAAAGCAGGGTTAACTAGGACAGGTTGCTGAAGAACTTGCTCAGTCAGCTTTTGAGTATCTCCAAGTACAGAGACTGCACATCCTCTCCGAGCCCCATTTCCTGGTTTGACCATCATCACAATGAGAAATTTGTTTTCTTGTGTTTATGTAGAATTTCCTGTATTTCAATTTGTACAGACTGCTTCACATCCTTTCACTGATGAGATACCACAACACCACTAACCAGAGTCTAGATGTCTTCTTTACATCCCTTCTCTCTTCCATACATGGATCCTTTAGTTTGCTCTTTTAAGACAGGACTGAGTACATTTGTTTTCTTCCAGTCCTAAAGAACGTTCCCTGATCATCATGACCTTTCAAACACAGAGAGTGGCCTCACAGTGACACTGACCACAAACTCTGAGCATTCATGGGTGCATCCCATCAGGTCCTACGGATTTGTCTGACCAGTTTATTTACATGATCCATAACCCAATCCTTCTCTACTGGGGGCAGGTTTCTGTTGCTTCATGTTTTCCCCCTGGTCCTAGGGGCTGGCTGAGGATTCCTGAAGGAAGGCCATACCAATAACCACTGAGGTAAAGGTGGCACTAAGCACCTCAGCCTTTTCCATGTCTTTTGGCACCAGGTCTCCCACCCCATTCAGCAGTGGCCTTCCTTTGCTGCTGATCTGCTTGTGGAAGCTTTTTGTTGCACTTCAAGGTGACGAAAGTCAATGCCAGATGGACACTGGTCTCCCTAACCCTATCCTCGCATGCTTGGACAGTGTTCGTATTGCTCTGAGATGACCTGGGCCCTGCTTTCACTTGCTTCTTTTGTTATATTTGAATTTGGGCAAGAGCTGCTTGTTATTAACGCAGACTTCCTGCCACTTTTGCTCGTTTTCCTCCTTATTAGGGTAGACCATTCTTGAACTTGGGGGAGGTAGTCCTTCTCTCCAGGACCATATCACATGGAATTCTTTAAAGCAGGTCCCTGAAGAAACCAAAGTCTGCCTTTTCTGCAGTCCAGGCTTGTGGTCTTTTTCCCTTCTCTCAGGATCCTGAATTTCACCATCTCATGGACACTGTACCAAGGCTGCTCACCTGACCTTCACATTTCTAGCTGGGTTCAACAGCCCCTCATCAGCTCCTCAATCACCATTAATATACTCCAGAAATCTCCTGGACTGTGCTGTCCCTTTATCAGGTACTGGAATGGTTCAAGTGCCCCCTAAGAACTAAGGCCTACAAATGTGGGTTTCTTCCTGCCATCTGAAGGCCTTACCTACATCTTCTTCCTGACAAGGTGGTCTGCAGCAGACACTCACCATAACATCACCATGTCTGCCTTCTAGCCATACTGCATGAACTCTCAGCTGCCTCCTTCTTTGACCCAAGGCATGCCACCACATGCTCCCACTGCTGCCATGTAAAGAGTAACCCCTCACCTCAGCTGTTAACATACAGATGTGATGATTTCCCAGAAAACATAAGAGAGCTTTCACCATTACGCTGTTTTGTAGACTTAATGTGCACATGCCCGAAGCAGGGCCTCTTCAGCCCTCCCTCTTGATTGCAAAGACTCTCATCCACATCATTCTGCTCTCTGCCAACTTAGCCTACCACCACTGTTTCCTAGTTTAACTCCTCAGCAGGTTGATCAGCCTGTTGGCAAAAACACTTCTGGCTCACTTGGTCTGGTAGATACTGCCTCTTCCTTAAATCTACAGCCATAAAAGCCAAACCCCTCATCACCATTAATTGTGCAATCATTCAATGACCTGCACGGTCCACACACTCCTCCTCAAGCTGTTCTTCCTCTCCAGCAGGCCTGATGAGAAAAACCTCATCTCCAGTATCAGGGAGTCTCCCACTATTACTTGCTAATTCCTCCTGGTGCTACTGCATTGTACAGGCTCAGAGGATTTGTTGGACAGCTTCCTGCTTCCCATCTGCTTCTGAGCACTGAACATATTCTCTGCAGGCAGAGAAGGAGAGTCCTTCCCTTTATGGGAATTCACAAGTTTCTAACCTTTGCCACTATGGAACATACAGAAAAAAAAGCCTGTCCTTCCCTCAGTACAGCTGGGGTTCAGGCTCATGCCTGGGTCTCAGAGAAGATTACGTTTCCTTTTTGTCAACCCTGGTATCATGTACTCTGCTGATGTCCTCCTGCATCTCTTTTACTTGGCACCAGAAAACCTTAACCAAGCACACATCTCCTGCAGGCAAGGACAAAAAAATTTCCTGTGTCAGAGTCTCAGCAAGAGACCAAGTGTTCCCTTCAGTTCAAGCTCTGAAGAGCTGAACCCTCCTGTGGGAAATTGGTCTGACTTGAGGCCTCTGACATTTTAGGGCAGTTGCTCCAGCTGGTGCTAGGAAGTGTGCCCTACGCCAACATGCAAGAACTGCTTGAAATTTTAAAACTGCTCACCTGCCGAAATTTTAAAAACTTTAAGCCTCCACATGGCAAGAAATCTGATCAGAAACATGCAATAAAAGCTTCATAAAATGAAAAATTAAATTTTGGTAAGCACAGTTTCATACATCATCAGAAAGAAATCATTTTCAAATCTCAATGAATTACAGGACTGAATGAAGACGCATCAAAAATTAACTTCCTCATCCCTTTGAAAGACTGAACTATATACTACCTCCAAGTCGAGACAACGAAGTACCAAATGGCTAAGTCTATGGATCAGCTATGAACAATTCTAACCATCACTTTTAAATGCAGTCCAGGTAAGGAAAAAGGTTACATACCCAAGAAACTCAAAGATGTTTTACTTTACGATTACCTTTTTAAGCAATTGCTTTCTGCATTCTAAATTCCAGTCTTAACTCAAAAGCAGATTAATGTAAATAAATGCCACTTCAGACACTATAAACGCAAATATATTAATGCAGAATACATCCACCTCAGTAAGAGGTTGAATTTAGCATAGGTGTTCTACCAAGTGCCAAATAAACATGCCTTAAGCAACAAGATGTATAAAAGCAAACCAAAATTAGAATCAAAGATTTACATCAAGAGTTTTCAAGCAAATTCACTTTATAGCAGAGCCCTACCTCAAATGCCAAGACACACAATGCTTATATATTATAAAGATGCTCAACCATCTTCACAACTTCAAAGAGGGAAGTGTTAAAGACACTAAGAATTTTACTGAGGAAAAACTGAAAGATGGGGAGGGAATAAAGAACAGCTGATTAAACCCCCCCACAAACCCACAATCCAAATTAGGCAAGGGAAAAACCATATAATCCATAGCAAGAAGCCTTTGTAAGGTTTCTGAGCTAGAGAAAAGAGGAAATTTATAGCCTGTTTAGAGCTGCAGAACTGCATTTGTTTAAGATATCATACATCTGATATTCTAAACCCAGGACAATTTACTTACACAGGCACGTTGGATTTTGAGACTAGAGGTCTTACTGTATAGCCCTCTTCCAGGACATCAGATAAAAGTCAAAGTCAGACTAAATAAAATTCTGCTTTCTGACTAAACACGTTTACATTTTTGAAAATACACCTATTCTTCTTAAATCAAAAAAGAAACTAACCACTTGACCAGAACCTGGTTTGACATTCCTAAAAAGATAAATAAAAATGGAAGTAGGAATGGGATATCCTTGGAAACATGTCAAAAAAGAGTACTCTTAGATTCAGATTATAACTTTCACAGCACTACTAAAATAATTTCCACAAATATATGTCCACATTTAAGGCAACTGACAGTTTTAATAAGAGGAGGGCAGCCAAGACTTAGAAAAGCCCCACATCTGAAAAAAATCCTCAAGTTAATCTTTGAATATCTTCAATTGGCATAAACTGATGTTCTAATAAGCCTCGGATTCTTTTGAGAAAAAACACACTGGTGAGTTGATGTACATCTCATATTCCAGTCACAAGATAAAACTCCAATCACTTGCTTATATTACACTCTTACTTTTCTTTAGAATTTATATCAAAAAGCCTAAACCCATGCAGATCCCCGAATTAAGGGCTTAAATAGTTGTGATCTTTGTGCCACATACTATTCCTAATATATCAGGGAAGATACATAAACTGCATCTCCTACCTGGAGAGTCATATGGCAAACAGCATGAAAGCAGTCTGCCTGTGGTCTGTCAGCCCTGGGTTATTACAGCTTTTCCCAAAAGAAGCTCAAGATTACTGACCTCACAGCATATTGTTTATTTAGACAGATCACAGCAGCAGTAGTCAATCATCTATTAGAGAAGAGCATTATTCTGCATTTTGCAATATTAAACTATCACCTTCTGTAATACATAGTGACAAGTACTATAAAAAAATTAAGCAGATGGGAGCATAAAACCTGGGTAGTATCTGCAAAAATCTACAGTTAGGACAGAGTTTAGAACTACAGGAGTTAGGATACAGTTTACTTCCACTGACATTTCTACTAGCACTGTAGCATGACATATCTGTGAAACTGCTACAACCTATTAAATGGACTTGCTAGGAACTCCTCTGAAGAGCAACTGGAAAAAATATTAATACATCTACACTAATGTAACGATTTTATAGCAACATGGGGCTCCTCAAACCCAGTGTACCCAGTCACTGCAGAAAGGCTATCAGGCTCTGAAGTGCCACTTGGTACCAACCAATTTTTTTGCATTGGGCTGCAAGATACTACTACTATTAGTCATCTATGTAGAAATGAAGCTTTCTACAGACACAAAACATAAGTAATCAGATTTTTGTGCCTTAAAAAAGCAGGAGAGTAATAATAATACTTAGTACCCAAGATTTACTATCTACCTACTGATCTTAATGTTGCAGTACAGACCTGTGGGAAAAAAAATAAATCATCATTATCGGGCACAACACAATTAGATAAGCTTTGCTTTGCAAATTGAGAGAAACTAAGAGAGAAAAGACAAAAAATTGGGAAAAAAGTGACAATCCTTAGTCTCACCTAGGCCTCCGGGGCCAGCCAACAGAAACTCTTGTCTGCCTATCCTTTTCACAATTGGCCGTTTCTCATCACTGCAATAAGGAAATAGATCCTGGGAGACTCCAGTATTATAATTCAAAATTATATACTGTGTAGTAAGCGCAAGACACAAGTAATAACCATCTACAGCCACAGCACAGGGTTGCTCTGGAGTAAACACTTCCTTCACTATCTGGACTCTGTCTTCAAACACCATGAACATTTGGATGGTCCGTCGCTTGACTGAGATAATGCAGACTTCGACACAGAAAGGATCCCCACTCACAGGGTTTTCATTTAATGTGAACGTCACAGCTCCTTTGATTCGAGCACCAGTGGGGACAGGTTCAAGGTTCATCATGTTAACTAGTGTTATTGTGTTGTCGCAAAGCACAAGAAGCCTGGTGAGGGCAGAGGCTGCTTTCAACTCACTCACAGGCTTTTTCAAGCCCAGGTATTTATGTAGTTGCTTGGTAGCAGCAAAAGTTATTTTTCCAGCTGTTGACATCTTTTCATCCAACAGAAAGTGATAGATAAAGCAGTCATTGGTTCCAATGTAGAGGTTCTTTCCACAACACTCAATGCATTCGATGTTGATGTAATTTTTGTCTCCCATTAACATCTCCCGCTCAACAGCAGAAACGAGCTTGAAAGCTTTAACACTCATTGTGTCTTCTGGGTGATCTGATTAAAGAGAAAAAAACCCCACTATTTATCTCCACATACATCAAATATCAGAGGCAGCAATTTAAACACCAAAACAAAAACTTCACTGTTGCAATTTTCAATAGTCTATACTCTATTTCCAACCTGATTACACAAGCCAGAATAAGCACATTAATAACAACAGAAATTAATCAAATTGTAATGTTCCACTTCAAGTCTATCCTGAGACAGATTCAGAACAGCACCCAGCTATTATGAAGTGATGATTTCTCCACATGTAACCAGTAAATTATTGTCTCTCTTTGACACTTTGGCACTACAAGTGGTTCCTGGCAGTACTTAAATGATTTATAAACCTGTCATGCACAGTTTTCTATCACTTGTACATGAACATATATAAGCTTCAGCTCTCAGATTTCTAGAGAAGCCACAAAGCATTCAACATGAGTTAACATCTCATGTTAGGCCTCAATTTAGGCCTATTAGGACCTAGTCTCTTACCAAATATACCATAGACATTTTAGCACATATAGTTTACATTCCTTACTCTCCAGCAATCAGAAATTTGTAACGTCCAAGCCACTTGAATAGTATTACAATTTGTTGGCTCATGGTTTTTTTAATAATAGCTGCAAAGCGTCTGCCACTTACATATTCTCTGTATCAGACTTTATAAATGTAAACGTGCTTTACAAGCAACAGTTATAAAGCACATTCACACAACAAATTTGGAAGCATGGTCCATAAAGCATTCATTAAACTTGGGCTTCAATGTCACAGAAATTAAAAGAGTTGTTCTGTTCTCTACTATTACAACCATTCCAGAAGTCTGCTTTTAAGTGCTAAGCAGCACTTCTAATATTCATTCTACAAACTATACCCACTCTTTTGCAATCAAGGGACAGATGCAATTTATGAAGCAATTAATAACGTTTTAAAACCAGCCAGTGTAATTTTACTGTACCCCTGACTTGTGTTATTTTTATAAGAAATCAGCAGACAGCTGTGCTCAACTCTCCAAAGAAGAGCAGATGAGAAACTGCTGGCCTTGTTTAATCACCTTCTAATTTGTCATGAGTGGTCTGAAATAACGACTTATCCAACCCTGGGGAATGCAATACTAAACATCTTGAATGGATTTCAGAAATAACATATACAATTACTTCCAGTCCACAAGTAAGATGGAGATATAAAACATCAAGCAAAATTTCTGTGGAACAAAAGAGATGCCAACATCAACAAAATGCTTTTATATGAACATCCTGAAACTAAATATAGTTAAAATTAATTTAGTTTCAAATTATTACATCTGAAAACTCCCTCTGCCTTTGCAAAAGAACATTGGAAACCATGGCAAAATTTTCTGGGACTGACTGAGAAAAGGTAAGGTACACAACTCACAAGAAACTATTAAATAAGATTACATCAAGCTAAGAATACAACCAGAAGCAAACCATGTTATCAAGAGGTAGTAGCAATCTTTTATGCCAAAAGCTTCACATTCTATTTTTCAGAAATTAGAGGATTTTATTTCAGTCTTCCACAACATTTTCAAAACACACCCTCATCTGGGGCATATATCAGTGTTCTGGCCTTCAACAGAAAAAAAACCCAGAACCTAGAAAGTACCAGAGAAATAGCCTAAGGTAAAATGATAAAGCAAGTCCCTGGGAACACAGCCCTGATATCCTCCGACACTATCAAAAAAACCACAGTATATTAAGTTAAAAAGGGCTGCCCAGTAGTTGACTACCAAAAAAACCCAACCATTTCTAAGACTTTGTGTGTAGCCGGAAGTGATAAACTATAGTCTAGAGAGGTTAGGCAGCTTTCATACCTAAAGCTGTCAACAACTTAACATTCCTGTAGCCCAAGGTAAAAATGTTAATGTATGACATTGGGAGAACTACAGAATTCTACTCTTGACCAAAATGCATTAAAAATCTCCCCAAAACATATCAAAGAAAGATGAAAAGTAAGAGTATAAAAGAAATCAAAATAGACATGCAATCCATGAGCAGAAAGAACAAAAAACCCCGTAGTACTACATAAGTCTGTAGGAAAGAAAGTAAAACATTCATGCTAGAAAAAAGACGTGAAAAAGGCTTTTAAGAATCACCAAAGTCAATACACATAACCTGTATGTGATTTTTTTATTGGTTTTGTTGTTATTTATAACAGCTCAAGGCCTGCACACATGCAAAGAAACAGGTTCTGCAGAACACGCTGTTTCTTGAAAGTGCAAAAGCCTACCCCACAGTTACAAACGGAAGTCATTATGCTACTTTTGAGTTCCAGAAAACAAGATCATGGGTTGTTTGTTATCAAAAGCTAATCAACAGCCAAGCAGATTACAGTCTACTAGATATTGTTTTCCTAAGTGCACCAGTAATCCCGCACATACTCTTTTCTGATAAAAAGCAGAAAGCAACTCTCCCCCACTTGCATTAGGTAAAGTCTTGCTTTGCAGTCACATTCCGTTTGCTGCTGCCCTGCAAACCAGCACACTGCCTTCTTTACCTCTGCATCGCTCCCTTACGCACACGTACTCCTACACGCTGTGTAGTTAGCAAGCTCTAATTAACCCGTGGACATGGCTCCGCAGACCCGAGGTGCTGGACCACGCTATTCCCGGGAGGACGGTGCTGCTCTTCACCCCGTCCCCTCACACAATCGCAGCCTGACCTAGGGGCGCAAGCCAGGCCCGGCGTCCCGCGGCCCCCAGTACGCCTGCCTCCACCCCAGCAGACGACAGAGTCGCTCCTCCCGCTCTCCCTCCCGCAGCACCTGCCAGCGCCAGGCGCCGCCACAATACCGAGCCGGGACCGCCGTTGCGAGGCGGTGCGGTCCAGAGCCAGCGGCCAGGCGGGCGGCGCCTCAAGCCGCGCTGTCGGCGCGCTGGGATCCGCCGGCGGGAGCGCCGCTTCCGGTGTCGCACAAACCCCGCCCTGCGCCAGCGTCGCCGCTTCCCGGAGAGAGAGAGGCAGCCGCACCGGGCCGGACCCTTCCGGTCACGTGTGTGTGTATGGGAGAGCCACCGGGCGTCCGCGCTTCAACTACTGGGCTGGAGCCTCAAAGAAACCCCGCCCATCGGAGGCGTGACCGGCGTAGGGCGATGACGTTACAGAGCCGGCAGGATAGGGTTCGGTGCTGGTGTCCTCTCCTCGGGCATCGGTTTCATGGCAGGGCGGGGAACCGCGGCCTTGCGCTGCCTCTGTGACGGGGAGCCCCTTCTCTGAGCCGCCGGGCTACAGCCGGCCTAGGGCTCGCAGCCGGGTGGCGCATCCGCACCGTGGAAGGGCGGCTGGAGGGAGCCCCTGCGCTGCGCACGAAGTTCGGATTGGGGCCGGCCCGGGGTGGCTGTTTGTTGTTTCCCATCGCTGTAGGAGAGCTACGGGTTGTGATCACAGGGCAGGTCCTTCCTGACACAGGCGGAAAAGCAGTTCTTCCAAGAGAAATCGGAATGTAACAGTGGTTGTGGGTGGTTTGGGAGGGGGAGAGTGCAAGGAGATGGGTGATACACACTGCCAGAGGGCAGCCTGAGGGGCACCACGTGAAATAATATGTTATTACACTGTTTGCTTGTACGCTTAAATGAGTTTTAGGTATTCCGAACTTGTATTCATATTCTTGGAAGTGCTGTGTATAGCAGTGATGTTACACATAGGGTCATATGTATGCAATGTGTTCTGTGTGTATGTTTTTGTTGTGTTACTCTGAATTGCTCATCCTTCTTACTGCTGTGATGTACATCAAGTACTCTGAGTTACATTGCAATTTCATATTGTAACGACAGCATGGTTAATTTACTAATGTAATCGTTTGTTAATTCCTCTTTCCGCTTTGAGTACGTAGGCAGGTTGCCAACTCAAACGTGCTGGCAGCTACTTTACTTTGGAACTGCAAAACAACTTCAGTCATTGCAGCTCATGAAGTGGTGTTAGTTGCTGTTCTCCAAAAACTGGATTTGGAAGGAGGTTTGTGCTTGGCATGCAGTACAGCAGCTCCACAGGCTCAGGAGAGATACTGTGTTTATTCACGCCTGGCTGCTAGGTGGGTTGTTCCATAGATCAAACACACAGATGCTGGCTTTCTTGTTACATTTATACACAACAGTTACAAGATCGCACACTGCCAGTGTTGCTTGTAATCTATATGTAACATTTGCTGCGTCACTCATTCTAGTCACTCTCCATGCTCAGATCAGAGGCCTTCACCTGGGCTGGGGTCTTTCTGACCTGGGGGTGTGATTTTTAGTATAATAATGAAAGCAGTTCACTTCAGGACACCTTAAAAGTTGGTTTCATTGCCAAGTTAGGTAACCGAATGGTCACTTTGCCAAGCTGTCAAGTAACTCATCCTTTAGTACTACCAGTCCTGAATGTTCTCCTTTGATCCTTCAAACACGACCAGGATCTGGTTGTGCCAATGAGATCCTTGTTGTTTCGAGAAGGTCACTTCATCCCAGGCCCGCGCTGTGTAACCATGGCTACCAACGACAGGTACACAACATAGCACGCAATGTATCACACCGCTGCCACCATCACGGACACGTTTAACCCAGCGGCGAATCCTGACGTAACCCCGCCGCGCCACTTCCTGCGCCAGGCTCCGCCCCGCGCGGCATTGTGGGAAACCGGAAGGGGGTCGCGGGGGGAAGAAGATGGCTGCGCGGGGAAGGGGCAGGGTCGGAGGTGGAGGCCACGATGGCATTGACGGAAAGGTGGAGCGGGAGTCGGGGCGTCCGGAGTCGGAGCTGCTGCTGCACCCGGAGCTGCTCTCGGAGGAGTTCCTGCTGCTCACCCTGGAGCAGGTGCGTCAGGGCGCCGTCGGGGAGGAAGCCAGGCCCTTAGCAGCGGGTCCTGAGGCGGGGAGGGGAGGCCTCGCTGCCCTGCGGTCCTGCTTGTTGTCCTGACCCCCCCCTTCCGCCGCGTCACACCTGCGCTGTGTATTTCTCCTATTTCCTTCGCAAATATGCGCGCAAGAAGAGTTCAGGGAATAAACAAGCAAAATCCAAGTTGGTATACACAAGTTGGTTGTGTAGTTTAGGTACTTGATTAGGGGAGGCCCGTGGTGTGAGAGGTGTGTCCGGGGCTGTGTTTGAGCATTGCAGCTGATAACGAACAGCTTTCTCTAGTCTCTGCATGTGAGACAGTGTTTGCATACGGTAAAATTATCCGTGGATGGGTGATCATTATTATAATTGCCACGTTCATACCCAGTGAATTAAGGAAATGTGTCTTACAAAGCCAGTAAAGCTACTGCTTAAGTATGCATAACTGAAAAAGAAATTGAGTTTGAAAGTGAGTTATAAACTGGTTTGAATCATATGAAGCTTCAGTTGATGTGATTTAGAATACTTGTTAGGTCCTTGCCTGAAAAGTTTAGGTGCACGAAGCAGTAGTAATCAAAGTCTTAATTTTTTGTATGAGCTCACTGAATTTTTGTCATGTAATTTATGTAGACAAAAATGTACAGGTTTTAGGTTGACATCAGAAGTCACAAAACCAATAGTGGCAGAGACATCACCTGCTTTCAGTGACCTCTAGTTTGTAGAAAATTACTGAGATTTTTTCTCTTTTAATAAATTTGAAAGGAGGTAGCAAGAAATTTTTTTTTCAAAACCCTATACATGGTTAGAAAGAAAATTGGTTCTCTGTTGTGCCTGACAGTTGCTAGAAATCCCCTTTTGGGATCTAGGGGAGGAAGCATCTCTACACTTTTAATGCGTTTTTTGAAATGCAGTATGTTTTACTAGTTTGGTTTTTAGAAGAGTGAAAAGCAGTATTCTAGTTGGATTTAGGGAAATTGGATTCAGGGAATTGTGCTAAAGAGTGCGTGAAAACATCAGTCATCAACAGGATGTCCAGCATAACTTCCCCCCCCCCTTTTTTTTTTTTTCCCAGTTTGGGAAATATTGCAGAGTTTTGGAGAGTTCACTTGTGTGGGCAAAGGCAGCGTACTGCCCAGTACTGACTGTAGGTGCATCTAGCTGTCTCTGACACTGATGGAAACAGCCCATCACACACTAAAATTTCAAGCCAAGTTGGTCATGGCAGCTGTGCTCAAATGTACTTAAAAAAGAGCTGCAGCCACCAGAGGCAGGAGACACAAAAGGGCATGCAGGAAGAGGCACATGAGGAAATAAGTGAAGAGATGTGCTTGCAGGTGGTGGAAAAAGAAACCACTATGTACTGACCCAAATATCTTTCATTTCCCATTGACTCAAGGAAGGACTGAGTGTAATCCACATGAAAAACAAAGGAAGCTGACGGAAGGAAGGCAGCAGACCTGTTATTGGCACAGGGCTGTGCTTGGCCTCCCCACACTGGTCACCTCTGCAGTGCTGTCACTTCTGAAACCCTAGCATTTGTACCTGGTACACTAAAGCAGCTTTTCAAAATGGAAATAATGCCACTGAGGTGTCAGTGCTTTGAATTTGTCATAATAATGACAACTTTCTTTCTTTTTGTTGTTGTTCCCCACAGAAAAATATACTAGTTGAAAATGATGTAAAGATGGATAAAGATGGTCTCACTGATCTCTATATTCAACATGCCATTCCTCTGCCTCAGCGTGACTTGCCAAAAAGTAGATGGGGAAAAATGATGGAGAAGAAAAGACAGCAAAATGAGTTTAAAAGTGAGAATAAAAGGTAATTTAGCTTTTATTGGGCTACACTTGCAGAATTTAGGACAATGTAATTAGTCTAATCTTTGTTTGCCTGATTAATGAAACTTGTACAGCTTTTGGATATTGTTACAGTTTGTAGAGATTGCTGTCTCAGGTCTTCTGGGTCCGAATTGTTAGATTCTACTACTGCCTAACAGGAAAAAGGGGAAGGTGATTTTTTTTGTCATCTAAATATTATTAATGGTAGCTGAATTATAGTGCTTTTCATATAATCATAGACTAGTTTGGGTTGGAAGGGACCTTTAAAGTTCATCTAGTCCAACCCCTCTGCCATGAACAGGGACATCATCAACTGGATCAGGTTGCTCAGAGCCCTGTCCAGCCTGACTGTAAACACTTCCAGGTATGGGACATCTGCCACCTCTCTGGGCAACCTGTTCCAGTGTTTCACCACCCTCATTGTAAAACATTTCTTCCTTATATCCAGTTTGAATCTACGTTTTCATTTAAAATCTTTACCCTTCATCCTGTTGCAGCAGGCCCCACTAAAAAGTCTGTCCCCATGTTTCTTGTAAGTCCCCTTTAAGTACTGAAAAAGCTGCTGTGAGGTCTTCCCAGAGCCTGCACTTCTCTGGGCTGAATAAGCCCAGCTCTCTCAGCCTGTCTTCATAGCAGGGGTGCTCCAACACCCTCATCAACCCTCCTTCTGGGCTTGCTCCAATAGGTCCACTTTCCTCTTGTGTTGGGGGCCCCAGAGCTGGACACACAGTTCCACGTGGAATCTCAAAAGAGCGGAATCAAGGAGCAGAATCTCTTCCCTTGACCTGCTGGTTACACTCCTTTTGGTGCAGCCCAGCATGTGGTTGGTTTCTGGGCAGGGAGTGCACATTGCTGGGTCATGTTGGGCTTTTCATCACCCATCAGCTCCAAGTCCTTCTCCACAGCACTGCTCTCAAATCCCTTCATCCCCCAGCTTGTACTGATACAGGGTTATTGGTACATTTCAGGGTACTTTATAATGAAGAAAAAAAGAAGTTATTTGTTGTTTCAGTATATAATTGTTAAATAAAAATGATATTTTTACAGTGCTTAAGTAAAGGGCCAAAATAATGTTTAATTATGCTTGTTCCTTGGATAGGGATGGTCTATAGTCTGGGCTGTATGCTGCAGCAGTTTTGTGTCCAATTCAAAACTAACATCTGCCTTCTGAAGAACATTCTGCTTTATTTTTTAAATCTTTGTCTTTGATCAGAAAGCAAAATCTTCCTTAAAAGTTTATTTTACTAAAACTTCTCCTCCCAGTCTTCCCCCAGCTCAGGACTTTGATGTGTGATGCACATGGATGGAGTTGTGGTTCAGCTTCAATAGTACATCTGAAGTAAAGGTGGATAGAAATTCTCATAGTTTTGCAGTATTACAGCTTGTGGATTTCATGGGTGTGTTTTAGCTTTACTGAGGTTTCTAACTGTGAAAAGCTAATCAAATTCTTTCAAGTGGTTGATTTGCTTGTTGTTGTTTGGTTGGTTTTTTTATATGTTAGCAGTGACTGGTGCACTGAGTTGTCTTATGCTGGTTTGGTTTTTTTTTCTTTTTCATGTGCATGAAAGTTTATAGTACCTCAGTTTGTTTACAACTTGCAACTTGAGGATAAAAGCACAAGGTTAGTGTTTGAATAATGAAAAGAGCTGTTGCTGTGCCGAAATAGGTGGAAAAGAAATTTTTTTATCACAAAAGGAAGATAGTAGGCTGGATGCTTTTGAGAGGATAAAGCAATGTTAATGTTCAGATGGGAGAATGGCTTCATCCAGCCTTTATATATAGAATAACTTTAGGGGCTCTTATTTTAGTGCAGTAAAATTCACTAATGATTACCTATGCAGTATTTTCTGGGAAAGTAGTAAGTAAAAGGAGGTGTGTTTAATCTACAAGTCTGCTTTTCTGTACCACTTGCTCTTAGCACTTAATATCTGGCATACTAGGCTTAGTCTTTTGCTCTGTTGTTAGGTAGTTTGGAGATTTTCCAGCAGTCAATACTCCTGCTATGGTTGTATCTTTTATACTTAACATATTGGCAAAATACTGCCTAGAAAAGTTAAGCTTTTATTGCTAAGATTACTAACTTGAGAGAAACGGGAGAAATAGACTTTCAGAAAGTAAAAGTTGCACTAAGAAAACTTCAGGATGTTAAAGTATTACAGTTTTCCTCACAGTTACGTGTACTATTTAAGCAGAAGTGCCGTTTCTGCAGAGGGGGAAGTAGAGCTTGACATTAATGTTTTTAAAAAGAAAATAAAATTTCTAGGTATTCTGATGTTCTAAGCTATGTGCAATTCAGAGGTAGGAACTAAGTGTGCTGTTAATTAAATTTAGAAATAAGGTAAACTGATCGTGTGAACAATGGAAGCTTTCTGATGAGTTTCTCTGGAAACCACAGCTTTACAACATGCACTGGAATTAATATGAGGCATGGTGGCTTGATCAGCACAGTTCACTGTGTGTTTGCATGCTTCTAGTAGTTGCAGATAAGAGGTAAAAACAGATTGAAAATTCAAAGTCAGTGTTGCATATTGTTTAATTTTACTGCTGTAATTGATGGTACATCCTCAAAGACTTGCTGTGTATCAGCTGAGCTGCAGTTATACCTCAATAATACTATCGAATATCTGAGGTCACAGATGATGGTTTATACATCTTACTACTGAATATTTGAGCTTGCAGACAGTCATACCAAATAAAACCAAATGCAGTCTCTCCAACTTCAAACATTTCACAAAGTATTCATGCTCAGGGACAGTTAATTTGGAAAATCTATAATATAATCTTGTCTGCTGAAAGAAAGAGGATGGTCAGAATCTCAGACTGTGTTCTATGTCCAGGCCAGCTCAAAGTGTGGCTACATTTCTCTTGGATGTAGGAGATGTGTGTTGAAATCTGGGTTTCACAGGGAGTGTCCTGCCACAGCAAATAGGATCCCAGAGTGTTCTTTTCAGCTGTTAGCCAGCAGCAGTGTCCTCTCTCAGACAAGTGCTGGCTAACATGAGTCCTGCTCTGAAGCTTTTAATCTGCCTGTACTTTATATAGAGAAAGGGAATGTCACAACCAGGGTTCCATGTACTTCTGTGAACCATGTATCTAAAAATGAGATGTGACAGTTCTTGATGGTATAGCATCCAGAGTTCTTTTGGAACTTTCCCAAAGTATTTCTCTGGGAATATTATCTGTATTGTAGCATGTGGTCATTTATACAAGTGCTACAATTCTAAAATTCAGTTCAGAATAAATAATGATCCTCCCAGAACTGCAGTTAGTTCCTGGCTTGCTGATCTTCACCATGCTGAATTAAAAACCAAACAAGAGTGCACCATCACCAACAAACAGAAACAAAATCATAAAAAACGTCCACAGGAAAAGCAGCCTTTTGTTAGACTTTTGTTAAGGAAGGTAACTGAAAAAATGCATTAAATCTCTTCTTTCACATGAAAAGCTAGTTCCAAAAGGCTGCTGGGGAAATGTGTCCTTGTCAGGAGTGTTGAGGAAGTTCTTAGACAAACCCAAATGAGCAAAATGTATCATGTTTTACTTTTGAAGTGTGTGTCACTTTTTAGACTTTTGGAGTGAAAATATACATTGTAACCGTATAGGGCTGTTTCAGTAATACTTAATCAAGGCAACTTGCCTGGCTGAGCAGTCCTGGTCCTGAGAAGGGCACATTTCCCCAGCAGCCTTTTGAAACTGCATTTACTGTAAATATAAGCCAAGAAGTTGTGTCTGATCTTTCAACAAACAAAGTCCAAATGAATTGAAGGTCTGTCTTTGTCTCTACCAGTTCCCAGAAATGGATGAATAGAAAAAGAGGAGGATTATGTGACATATAATGTTGTGAACAGATAGTAATGTAGAAGCAAATTTGAATAAGAGCTGAACTTGCTCTGTGAGCCGTTCTTGTAGGTAAGGTGGCATATACTTTCTCAAATACCTTTTGAAATACTTGACAGCTATTGTTTCTTTAGTTATTCTCAAATAGCTACAGTAGGATAAGCATAGTCTTTGGTCATACAGCTATAATTGCCTGCCTAGAAAGTTCCTACAGAACCCTCTTTGCTAAGGAACACTTCCTCAGACACCCCTCTGCTTCCCTCCCTTCCCCCTTTATATTTTGAAAGCAATTTCTGTTGCCTAAGTTTAGAGTAGCAAAGAGTTTAAGGTTAGTATTTTGGGATATTTTTACTTTAGGCAAGGTTAAATTCATATTTCACTAGCTGTGTCTTGGGTATACTGTTTTTGGATCATGTAGCTTGTGTTTCTGATAACTTTACAATTTGTATTTTCAGTGTTACAGTGGCAGAAGGTTTAAGGAAACGGCCATTAATTGTATTTGATGGCAGTTCAACAAGTACAAGCATAAAAGTGAAAAAGACAGAAAATGGAGCTGCTGATCGCCTAAAACCTCCTCCAGCTGGAAGCACCACCAACACTGTTAGAAGATTATCTGTTCCTCCGAATACCGCAACATACGTTTCAGCCTCCAGTTTATCAGAGGACGCTAAGCTGGGAATGAGGAATAATGAGACTAAGCAGAACAATATTTCAAAGACTAACAGCAGTATGTTGGCTACTCTGAAGGTGTACCCCTTGTCTCCAGTAGCAGGAACTACTGTTGTGAAGTTAAAGAGAGCTGTTCCAAAAGAAGAATCTGAGTTGCCGGTATGTACATTCAGTATCTTGCTTTGCAGCTTTTTATTCAATAGCAACTTGCAGGAACCAAATATAGACCCTTGTAAGAGTTTTCAGGATTATTTTATTTTGGAGTAATAGCAGAGTTTTGTTTAGAAACAGGCAAAAGAGTAGCTGGTCTGGGAAAGATTAAAAGGAAAGAAATTAAGTATTTTTGTACTTGTACATAGGAAACTTCTGTGTGAAGAGGAGCAGTTTTGTAGAAAACATATATGTAACTTTAAACTGAGTTGGTAGGTAATACTTAAGGCGGTGCTGGTAGCAGTCAAATAAAACACAAACAAAATAATCCTACTGGCAGGTCTGAGAGAGAGAACAGGTATTACAGAACAACATGAAGAGCCTTAGAGGGAGGGCAAGTGGTCTGTTTTCTGTAGTAGGGAAGAAAAAAATGGAGTGATAACATTTGTAACAATAACACTTGAATGGTTGAGTAGGACAAGCTTTCATTTGTCAAAGTGAAGGAAGAGATGTTACAGGATCTGAAGTGGGATGCTGAGAGCTGTAGAATATGTCCTTAGAGGAAGAATGCCATCTGTTTTAAATCTCACATAGGAATTGGCAAGCTAGAGGAAGGAACTGGATATGAATATCTGGAGAGCTGCCTAGACTGTGGGTCTGAATGAGAAGCCATAACAACAAGCCATACTAACTGAAGTGAGAGGCTAAATGTTGAGTTCTCATTTTGAGCCATGCTGGTCTTAATCAGCTACCTGGGCTTCTGTAAGATGATGAGAAAGACACGCTAAGGTCTTAAGCAGACTAGTGCTGTTCTCAAGTAGAAGACTGATTACTGAGCTGTTAACCATGAAGGTAAATAGTTACCTTTCTTTCTGCAAGTTAGATTCAGCTGCAAACAAATTTTCTATAGAGAATATACACTACAGCTGGGCGCAGAAGGAGGCCAGTGAGTTGAAGTGATGAGAGGAGAGCTAAGGCCAGATATATGAATTCAGCAGGGCATATCTTTGAAAGTGTAGGTAATTGTGTTCAATGTAGCTGTCAGCTGGGGCAAAAGATAGAACAGTGGTTGTTTCTGACAGAGGTGTAATTAGTCTTTTATGAGCTTGTCAGTGAACAAGGAGCAATGGGCTATGTCCTTTTTAAAACATGCTGTGAGGTAGGGATAAGTCTTGTATTTGTCTTCTGTTTCTTCATGATGCAAATGAAGGCATTTTCACATTTCCACTGGAGTATGGGACTATCTGGAGTAAGTCTGGGCTTCAAAGGAGGAGGTATTTCTGACTGTTCTCAGTTGAACTGCAGGGGGAGCTTTAGATATGCAGTGTAAATTACATTGATTAAAATTTTCTCAGGTCACTACACTTCTTTTTTCTCAGTATTGGGTCACAAAATGCTTTCTATTAATTTCTCTCTCTCAAAAAAAAAAAAGCTTTCATGAAAGAATGCAGGTAATATCCTTGCTGTGTGGATTGGTAGGTTCCTTCAGACTTCTATTAAACATGAGCACCTAAAAACATGGCTGTTCTGAAGAACTTTTACAAGGATCATGGCTGTAGCCCTGTGTCAGATTTATGCTGGAGAGGTGTGTTTCGTACTTACCAGTATTAATAGCTTATTTTAATACTTAGGACTCTTTCAAGTATTGGTCAGATCTGAGCCCATAGAGCTTTTGAAACTTCTTTAGTATGCACCTCCCAGCTGCTTTACATTGCATTTAAATGTTTTGTAGACGCAGTGATGAGCACTTTTAAGTGACTGTATATCTAACACTTAAAAGCTATGAGCTCTGACACTTTACTTTCCACCTTATCCACAGTTTTTGTTGTTCAGGTTAATACCAGTAAGTTCTTTGCTTAGTGTTGGTTAGATATGTTTGAAGTTAGGCAAGTGTATTGTATGGATATTACTTTACTGTCTGAAATTAATATTGAATAGTAAGTCATGGAGCCAGGAAGAGTCAATGTAGTTGGCTGAAAAGTGTGAAGCCTGATATATATTTTTTAATATGACCGTAAGGACAGTTGCCTTTTCAAGCAAGTGACTGTTCTTTAACTGTCAAGATAAACTGAAGTTCTTACACTGACTAGCACAGAACTGTCTCTCCTTAAGGTCTAATTTCCTTAAACATTTCAGTGGTTGCAATCTACAACATTGCTGTAAATAAACACTGAAACTCTTAAAGAGAAGAAAGATCTCTTGATTGTGCTCCCCAAACCACTGCTCTGCAGAATCATAGATGGTTAGGATTGGAAGGGACCTTAAGATCATCTAGTTCCAACCTGCTTGCCATGTCTAGACCATGTCATCCAAAGCTCTGCAACCTAGCCTTGAACGCTGCCTGGGATGTGACATTCACTACTTTTTTGGGCAGCCCGTTCCAGTGCCTCACCACCTTCACAGTAAAGAACTTCTTCCTTGTATCTAGCCTAATCTTCTCCTGTTTAAGTTTGAACCCATTACCTTATGTCTTATCACTACAGTCTCTGATGAAGAGTCCCTCTCCAGCATCCTTACAGGCCCCCTTCAGATACTGTAAGGCTGCTGTGAGGTCTCCATGCGGCCTTTTCTTTTCCAGCTAAACAGCCCCAACTTTCTTAGCCTGTCTCCATATAAGAGGTGTTCCAGCCCCCTGATCATCCTCGTGGCCCTACTCAGGACTTGCTGCAACAGCTTCATGTCCTTTTTATGTTGAGGACACCAGAACTGCACATAGCACTCCAAGTGAGGTCTCAAGAGAGCAGAGGAGTAGAATGTTCTTGAGAAGTGATATACCTGTCTTTACTCTGCTTGTGTGAACTGTTAGAGCTGTAATTTCTCAGGGTTTTTTTTCTTATGTTATATGGTGAAAGGTAATTATTTCACCACTTCAGTCTCCCATTGTTTTACTTTGGGCTTGCTTGCTTTTTTTTTTTTCTGGTTTCTTGGGGTGGGTCTTGAAAGATGAGTTGATCTGAGGTTTTGGCAATTATTTCACTTTTTATACTGATTATTACAAAGGAAAAGCAACTTTCCCATCTGTTTTTCTAACTTTTTACTATTTGACAGAAGTAAATTGGGTTTCCTAGTAGTATGTGTGGGCTTTTTTTCTTGGACAATCCTATTTCAACAAGTATTTTAAGAAGGCAATCTGATGTAAATATAGAAGTATGTTTAGAAGCTCCAATATGTGCCTGTCTTTAAGATGCATAATTGAAAGATACTTTTGGGTAACTAATTGTGGGATTAAGAAAAACCAAATGACGTATGTTATTTGCAGATAGTTGAATTGATTTGCTTTATTTCTATCTTAAAGAAGTTGTGTGATATTTAGCGTTCTCCACAAGATGGCAGTAGAAAGCTGTTGTAGTAGCATAGAGATGCCTACAGCCATAGTCGGTGTAAGATTTAAATACAGCAGGTTAGTTTCTAACTTCTACTTGCACAATATATCTAAGAGTACTTATATATTTTCTTATATTCCAGAATGACCTAAAACCTACAGAAGCAAAGAAGAAAATCCAGCATGTTACATGGCCATGAAGTAGCTAATGGCGCTTGAAACTTAAGTATTACTTCCATATATTCAAACAGATAAGTCGTATTTAAACAGTTGAAGTACAATTCTTTTTAAACCTTACAGGGATTCAGATTGCTGTGAAGTTTTAACGACTTTAAAAGTTCCCTGTCGTAATGCTGGAGTCATTCTCACCAGTCACCTTAAAAGTGTCTACTTATGTACACCAAGTAGCTCAGTATTTCTTTAAAAGGTGGCAATATTACAATGTTTTACTACCAGCCCCACCCCCCTTTTCTTTTTTTTTTTTTTTTTTAGCTTTGAAGATTATTATAGTTCATCTCCAGCATGTCATTCCGATTCACACCCAGAAAGACATTATTTTTGTTTCAGTAAGATTCAGGTTTTTTCCACTTACGGTCAAATAGTTAAAATAGCTATTGAGGTTTAGAATCATCCCAAGAGCCTTCTTGACATTAAAAAGATAACTCATTTAGATGAGAAAACTGACCATTCTGCTGGTAAGGTAATCTGAGACAAAATGTTTCCTTTATATTGTACAGGAGTGTAGAATTTACAGTGCAAGTTAGATTGGTAATAAGAGATGAACTATTTTAACAGTATTACTTCAAATTGAAGTTTCTCTTACTGACATATGAAATAAGACATACACAGATGGGAGTATGTTATTAGGCTGTTTGATATGGATCTCTGAGAAGAAGTAGTGAATGGATTAGTGCCATTTTCTCTTGAATACACAGGCATATTTTATACTTGCTTAAGCGTAAAAATGTGCTGATGTAGCAAATTTGCTGTTCTCCTGATTACAGTCGTGCTTATAAAATGTGGGGAAAACATGTGGAATGCAGGCCAGTGCTTTCTGAACTTAGCTGGAAAGGGACAGGGATAGGAAGACAAAGTAATACCTTGAGAGCATTAGCGTATGTAGGTGCATTCTTAAAAAATAAATAAAATTTGCTAACCTATTTTCCCTTCCTTTGATCAGTTAAGATGGGAGTTGATTTTCTGTGAAACTTGGTGTTTCATCTGCATTGTTGGTAGTTCCTTATAAGGCAGAAATCCCTTTAAGTTCATAGAAACATTATTACTAAAACTCAGTGGCACAGAGTGAAGCCAATTTAGATCCATTTTAGATATGAATGGTAAATAATAACAACACACTCCTGGACTTAGTAAAACAGAAAAAGAATCGACTTCTGAATCCATTTAGTTAATCCACTAAGAGAAGCTCTCTCTTGGTAGTGATCTGAAATATGTTTACATTTGTAATACTGGTTAATGTTGAAACCAAAACCTGTAGCTTAATTCATTACTGACAGAAGTTCTCCATTCACTGTTACACCATAAAAGACACTTCTCGAATGCTGTAAAATGGTAAGAATGTGTGTTTTGAAATAGTGTGCTGTTTTCCTTTTACTAAACTCTTGTCCAGTTTTTGTACTTGAGTACAGCAAACTTTAACGTAATGTACATTTTGTATGTAAAGAGTTGTCTTTTAAGTAACCTTATCCTATTTAAATAAATTCAATTAAAAGCAAACAAAGTAGTGCTGACTTGTTTTTGTGATGTAATTAAGGTTATTCATTTTACACGCTTACATTTCAGTGGACTTTGAAGTGATTAGACCTTAAGAAAGAGTTTACGGGGTAAAAGACTGTAGCAACTCTGGAGTTTAGCGGCAGTTAGTGTTGTGTGAAGTGCTGGTCCTTGCAGTAGTATAATAGCCTGGTAGGAGTTCTGTTTTCTGTGTGGCTTCTTGGCAGTGGTTTAGAGTTTAGTCTATATTTTGTTGTAGTTTCAGTTGCTAGGCTCACATGTGTGTTGTTATGTGTTAAGGAGTAGTATGCAGAGCTGTACTAGAATATTAGCATGATGTCTTGTTTTCAGGCTAGTTTGCTTTTCAGGCTTGTCATGTTTCACCTTGCTTTCCTCAAAGCTGGGACCATTTTGCCATCTATTATAGTTCTTGGAGGGCAAGGTACAAGCCATGCTGCTTTTGCTCCCTTCCACTATCCCCTTAGTAATCTCTCTTTTCTCAGTAAAGTATTAGAGCTGCAGTGTGTTGGGGGATTGCCAGATCCCAGAGGAGAAACTGAGCTTCTTGCCTTCTTCTGTAAGAGGGATTTTCATGGCCATTCTTTACCACAGCCTTCACCATAGAATAAAGTAATAAAAAGATAGAATTTAGTAATTCAATGAGATCTGATTTGCACAGTGTGCACTTCAAAAATGTCAGCCAGCAAAGTTCTTCAAATGGTTTTCTAACCAAATCTTACCTGATGCATCTATTTATCTTGTTGAATTAATGAGAGAGGAATGACCTGTGAGCACATTACACTTGGTACAAAAAGAGGCAAATTCAAGAGTGGTGACAGGAACTAGGAGCAAACTTTTCCTACCCAGTTACACACAAAGTATATGCTTAATCCTTCTTTCCACATCTGAAGATTCCAATTGGAAGTGTGACATATTACTTTCCTTCTTTTGCTGGATGCAAATGAATTCCATCCAGAAGGTGTGCCAGGATCATACATTGTGTAATGTGGCCAGATTTCTTGAGGTTTGTTTTGGGAAGTGTTAATCTTCCTTTGGATTATTTCTTCTTGATTTTACTGACCTGCTAGCATGTTGTGGCTGAACTTTGCCTTTGCAACAGACATGTAGCAGAAATGATGCTAGAGCAAAGGTTATTTACATATTGCAATACATAACAAAATGAAAGCATGCCCTAGCATAGAAGTTAAACTTCTGACTTTTGCAAAGATGAATGTCTTCTGAGCTGTCTTGACCTCCTTGCTTGCCGAGGAAAACAGTATTTTGGTTTTTAGCTTAGAGCCTACTAGCACATTTTTATCAGCTGCATTCCATTCAGTATTTTCACACAGTTGTTTAGTTTTGCTGATAATTTTCGCACTAATTCCAGTTAGTAGAAGACTATGTTGTATCAGCAGGGTCCATCTGAGGACTGCCTAAATCCCACAGGTTCCTAATGACAAAGTGCAAAAAGGGTTGTGTTTTGTGTGGCTCTTGCATTGTGTTCCTTCAGACTGTGAAAGCGTTTCATTTGTAAATATCTAATATGTAAATGCAATTAAACCACAATCACTATTTTGTTTTAAATGATTTTATTTTGAAAAATACAATGTGCAGTGTAATGTCGAATAACTGTAATACTGACACTGTCAATCAGAGCTTGTACTTCACACAATGATCAGCTAGTCATGCAATAAAATATGTACCTGTTACAAAGCATTCCCACTTCAACTGTTTTATCATTATGTCTCTTCATTGCATGGCACAAATCCTTGTACATTGAACACCCTCTACATTCACGGTCTTCCTACACACTTGACAGCGCACACTAGTCACATAGCTTGAGAACACTGAGGTGAGACCACAGCCTTACTGAAATTTAATGGGGTTTGCCATTGGTTTCAGTGGGCCGAGGGTTTCACCCTGAATATCTGTCTATGAATGTATTGTATGTGGCCATTGTAATCCTTGAACTACATCACTTGCTTGTAACCAGAATATGGAGTGGAAAAACAAAATGCAAAACCAAAAAGAGTATGTTAAGTCAGTAACCCCCAAATGATGTTACATCTTGGGTTTTGCATTAGTTTTGGTTAGCTGTAGCAATCTTGAACACCACTACTGCTACTAGGGATTTTGAAGTTGTTTTCCTTCCAAATTCGGAGAGTTTGGAGAAAAAGGTTAAGTAATGTTAATAGTACAGCAAAAGTCAGAGGGCAAAGCTAGTTCTGAACATCTGTGTATTTCAGACTATATGTTGCAAGCATGGCTTTCCTCCCCTCTCCTCACCTCTTGTTTTGATCTTTAAATATCCTTCCCACACTCAGGGCAAAGGATGTCATCCCTTTCTGTGAGGAAGCCTCGACCCACTAATGAGAGAGAGCACTTCTTACAGTTAAAGCAGTCATTATGCCACTGCCGTTCTTCAAAGGAGATGTACTTGGTTCCTCCAAGTCCTGTTTGAAAACCAAAAACATTCTGTTATAAGGAAAGAATAGCACATCAGCCATCAAGCGGTGCTCTTTCAGACAACAGGTATCAAAGGGGAGACATACAGCAGTGAAAAAATGCCATTGTGACAAATTATTTGTTGCTGTGCCGGTTTTGCTACCCTTATTCTGTACCAAGTATAATTTTCAAGGTATGGCACCATGATATACAGCAGAAAAGGAACATAACTGCCCCTGAACAGAAGTCTGATCGTTTTTTTCTGAATTATGGTGTCTTCAGTTAATTGTGTTTTCTAGAAATATACTTAGATCATTAAAAAAAGTCTTCACAGGTTGTGTCATGACTTGAGCCACAGCTTTGAGAGAAGAGTGCCTCAAGAAGAGAAGCAGGATAGCAAACTGCAAAAAGCACTGAAGAGTGTGAGGCTATGTGAGGCTATGGAGGTTATCATGAGGAGTATTGAAATTGTACAGGAAAAAAGGGGACAAACGTCTCTTAGTAGTAATTATCTTTTGCTTAATCTCAGAAAGGGCAAACAATTTTAATATGATGCTTTAGAAGGACTAGCTGGAAGTCAGTGAAAAGACTTAGTTGAGCTCTCTCTTACCTGAAGAGAGTGGGTTTGGTTTTGTTTTGCCTTTAGTAGCAACTTTTTGAAAGAAACAGCATGTGATAGAAATGCAGTACTCAAGAGGGAAATGCCTCTTTTCACACAAACAGAAAACAGTACCTGTGGTGTTACACACTGACTTTTCTAGGAGCTATGCAATCAAACATATGTTACTGAGGGACAGGCACAAGGGCAGAGTAACGTGAGGAGAAAATGGTCCACATAAAAGTCAGATTTGCAGTCTTGGCCTGTATGCATCATACTGTTAAATGCTGATTACTTCTTATATGAGGTTATATTTTTATGCCAGGTGCTTTGCAGTAAAGCTCTAAGCAGTTGCTCCTTTAAGTACTTTTATACTGGAAAGCAGTATCTAAAAGTCTTGTGATGTCTCAGTTGCTGTCCTGAAAAGTCAGGGTAAAAAATCTCTAGAAATACAGCATGAGATATAAGCCAGTTGGACACTTTCTGCTGGCAAAGGGACTGTTGTTGCCGAGATCAGTGATCCCTTTTCATGAACGCAAGTGGAATGACGTGCAGAATATGCGTATCCCACTACGTGCACAGCTGTGTTGCTGTGGGTCCACCGTGTTCCATGAAAATTGGGTAGTAAGTGGGAAACTTCAGTTTAAGGACCTCTTCTATTTCTTTTTGTTAGGCATTTGAAAGGCATCTTAAGTATTTAATTTCACACATTGTATTGTATGTGAATTGTACAGTACCTTGAGTTTCCCAAGTTACTCACAATGAACTGCTGAACTGTTTTTGACATTAGAAGAAGTTCGTTGGGAGAAAACAAACAAGCGAAGTTTAAAGGCACTGGCCGTGAGAGACCTACCACTGATAGGGTTTGTGCATCCAGCACACTTTTTGGCATAGAGGTTGCAGAAGCAGCTCAGGCAATATGCAAACTCATCCCTGGAGGTAAAGCGTTGTCCAGACAACTGCTTCTTGCACCCAGTACAAACGAAGCACTCTTTGTGCCACGGCTGCTCTCGGTAAGTGACACCTCCTGTGGTGATAGCCTGTTTCATGGAAAGTAAGACAAGAAGTGTTTTCTTGAGGGTGGCAAGTTTGATCTTTGATTTGGGAGAGAGGAAGGGCAATGAGATTTTTGTGGGTGGGAGGAGGGAAAGAAGGCGCAGCGGCAGCAAAGTCATCGTTTTGCCTGGAGCTGACTTCGAGAGAATCATGCAAGTGTTTTATGTTAATTTCCTAATTTGTATAAAGAAGTCCCATACTCAAAGTACTTTCTTCTCCATATATTGGGTAATCTCACTCTCATTTATTCCTTTGTTTTTAAAGCTAGTCTTTTGTATGTTGCTTTTCATATGCATGTGCTAGGATTCATCTCACCTCTGTTCTTTTACCTGTCACATTCTTCATGGTGAAGGAGCTACCTCATGTGTTTCAACTTCCCCATTGCTTTCCTTGGCAAAGACTTTTATTTCAAATTTTAGCTGAACCCTGTGCTTTTGTGGACTTTTTCTCTTAGAACAAGTTATTTGCGAACCCAGCTCTCCTGATGTTAGACAAATGGAACTTTTTTTGACCGTTTGAGTGTTCCTCAGCAAGCTGTAAAATTGGACAGTTTAAGTTTTCTTCCTTTCTTCCGTAAAGGGAGATTCCCTAGGAATCAGGCTTGTGTGTGATCACTCTACCTAGTATCTGTATTTACCTTTGTCTTTGCCTCTTTCACAAGTATTTCTGAGCCTGTTCTCAAATGTGATTAAAATGGGGCACTGGACAGGTTTTAAGATACGAAACTCCAATTCAGAAAATTAATGGATGGACAGGAGGTAATTAGGTATACTTTAGGTCAAAGGCTGAAAGAAAAATTGCCTTTACTTGTTTGGTTTTGCCTGTGCAGCAGCAAAGTTGCAGTTATTTCTGGCCAGCTGGTATGCGACCAGTCTCCAGCTTTGCTTGGCTGGGAGGGCAAATGAGCAGGTAGCACACATGGAAGAAAGTCTGGGTAGGTTGGGCACGGGTGGTGTGCTGGAAGCACACAGAACAAGACAAGAAGGAAACACTGGAAGTGGGGAAGGGAATTTACTGTGGGTATAGCCATAATTTGGATTGCCTATGCGTATATCCATACAAAACTGGGATTTGTTAGTTCCATAATTAATGATCCTTTTTAGGAAATGAGTCTAAAATTCCTATCAGTGCCTGTGTATAGAACTTAGAAAATTCACAAATAAAAGGTCCTTAGCCTAGAAAGTCATATTCCTGAGCATATTTAGCTTATAGTGTTCATTTCAGGAGCAGCAGTTGCTCTGTGTAACACTTATCTCTGTCTTGAACTACATTAGAATATTAACATGTTATCAGTGCTAGCTTATTTTCCTTCCAGTTGAAATGTTTAGGTGTATGATGGGTTATACTTGAATGAAGTTATTCCACTGCAGAATTATTTTCTTTTAAATGTGTTCTCCTTATGCTTTCAACACAAAGGAAATTTGAGTAAGAGAATTCTCATTGTAGTAAATGCTGTGTCTGGTGCAGAATGGGAACTGAAATTGTCTCTTAAAATCAGTTGATTCTGAGTCTTTTTAACACATGGAAATAAGGCATTCTACCTTCTTGGAGGTAAAATTGGGTGGACTTCAGTCACTTAGGTTTTAGGTAAGTAAAATAAGAGCCTTACCTTCTTGCACTGGACGCACTGCATGGCAAACTGCTTTTCATAGCAGGGTACACAGAAGTTTTGATTGTCCTTAGGGATGAAACTCTTTGTCCCAATAGGCTGTTGGCAGCGATAGCAGATAAAGCAGGTCTCGTGCCAGCTGTTGCCCTTGTACTCCATCTTCCGAGTACCTGTAATGAGACCAGAGCATCAGCTGAACCACTTCTGGCTGAGACAGGTGCAATTTGTACCTCATGTTTGCCTGGCAGCTGGTTATCAGTTAAGAAGTAGTGCAGCTGTGACACAAGTGCCTATTTCATGTTCCTACCAGCTTTGCATGGTATTTGGTACCATTTTGGTTTTTGAAGAGTGTGTGGTTCTTCTCCTGTGAAGAAGAGAAACATTTACTGCTAATAATGAAGGCTTAGGACACCTTTTTGTGGTACTATTTGAATTAGTAATAAATCCTAATGCACAGGAAGGTTCTGAGGATTAGCAAGACAGCAGTAAAAGCTGCTGTTAGTGTTGAGTGAAGGTAAGGCCATACCTCCTTAGAGTTTGACTTTGTTCATTCCAAGTCTCTATTTGTTTTTTCAGACATCTATGAGATACCTGGTTAATTCCTTGCAACCTTCTTGCCTCCCTTTCCCAATAAAGCATAGTCAGTCTGAGACAAAGGATTATTTCATATATGCTATGGGGCCTTGTTCCTGCCCTCATTGAGCAGGGGGTGGAACTGGATAAGTTTTAAGGTCCCTTCCAACTCAAACCATTCTGTGATTCTGTGAAAAACAGAAAAGTGGTATGGTAGCTAGGAGCTGAATGAACTTGTCTAGAATGAAGTTTTAGGGTACAGATACTGTGCTCTGCAGATTCAGCCCACTGTATGACAGGTGGACTCACCCCTCTCAGGGGATTGGAGATGCCCTATAATATGGGCATATTTCATTACACACTATGTAATTTCTTATGTACCATTTAAGTTTGAATATTTGATACAGGCCAGAAGGGAAAGGAAACAAACGATGC